AACTTTGCTTAAACTTAGCGTTATGAAAAATCCCGAAACATGTGTTCAATTATTTACCCAAAGCTACATAATTATCGAAGTTTCATCAAGATCGGAGCGAGACTGCTGGCGTCATCGCATTGTGAGTAATATTTCCGCAACTATTCTGATACAAATTATCAATTGCACCTACAGTACAAATATTGGATTTACTAAAAATAGTACGGACAACTTAGGATCAGATAGAGGAATAATAATAAACGAATAATAAACGTTCTCCCTTAGGGGAGAACGATAAATTATGCTCAGCAAAAATCGGAGCCTTACCCCCTCCCCCTTCTCGCGTGACATTTATTTATATATATTTACGTCCCTTAATAAATGCAATAAATGTTTGAAATATATGTAAAGTGCAGCTGAAATTTATAGCAATATTAAATGGTTCACAAAGGAGTATCAGATGGTTAACAGAGGGATTTCTGCACAGGCGGATAACTGGGGGCGCCAGAAAAATTTTGCCTAGGGCGCAAATATGCCCAGCCCGGGGCCTGTTCGGGTGACATTGACAAGTGGCATTAAGTGACTGACATTAAGTGGCATTAACCGGTTGTTGTCACTTGACGTTTGGTGACATTAAGTGACAAGTGACATTAAGTCTAAAATTGGGGTAAAATGAGAGGGAAATCAGCGCGGATCATGAGATTTTTCATCCCAGCCGGTTTTGTTTAAGGCATATTATGTAATTAAAAATGTGTAAATACTGAAAATTAATTAATTAAGTACGTGCAAGTGTCAGGAATGAATACCAAAATCTTGTACACATGATAGTAAATAAATGTTTACAAATGATTTTTGTGCACAAGTGCAATAAATCGACACAAGCGACTTTTTAATTTTGTACTCTATCATTTTCTAATCACGACTCGGACAACTTCTGCTTTTATCTTTTTCGTGTTGTTAGACCTTGTTTGACTCGCTTTTCATTGTGCAAAAACTTATAAAAATTGTTGATAAAGCTAAAGCATGTTTTTCCGGGCTTCTGGTTAAAACTATTACGTTGCTTTGTCAAGATGCCTCCAAGTGTAGACAAACTTCTCTCAATGATCGCCGTGTTGCTCAAACAGCTTGCTATTGTGATGCATTATATTAATTCCTTTAATTAAAATAAACAGGTAAAAATATATTTACATTTGTTCATGCTCATAATTGGCACAGGTACAAATTGACTCAGGCGCAACGCAATATGAATGAAACAATACTTAATTCTATTAAAACAAGCTAAGGCGTACCTTTCTGATCTAAGTCCCCCTGATGTAACTTTAAATTAAAATTCAGTTCAATTGTGTTTTATTATGAGAAGCGATGCATTTGTAGCAAATTCTGCCTTAATCAACACCGGCTGGGATGAAAAAACTCATGATCTGCGCTGATTTCCCTCTCACTTTACCCCAATTTTAGACTTAATGTCACTTGTCACTTAATGTCACTTAATGTCAGTGTCATGACATTAAGTGAAAAAAGTGGCATTAACGAAACCTTGATACAAACGGAATTAGATCGAGTCCATTTTAGGAGGAGAACGTGCGATGTTTGCCACGCCAAATTTTGATGCCCTTCGGATGCGTTGTAGGACTTAAGCAGGACCGGAAAAGGGAAGGAGGGTTCGACTTTATCGGTCCATTTGGGCCTGGGCGGGATAGGCCTAGCCCGAAAAAAGCCCGAGCCCGACTCACCTCTACTTCATTGTGTATGCAAGTTCAGGTTAACTTATTAATTTAGTGTCAATATTATAAGTACTTACTCTTCAACTAAAATGGTCAGCCACCTCATTAATCACGCGTTCGCGAAATAACGACTTCGAAAACCTTCCCGTATCGCAGAAAATGTGCATGTGAGATTTATGAAAGTCAGGTGACTCGCCCTATTAGATGGAGAGTAGGTCTTATAAATTTGCATCGATATGTTGTCCTAGCTGAATAAATAAAACTTTAAATAATCAATTAACTATAATCAATTCTGTATGTATGAATGTGTGTATTTGTTAATAAAATAAATGAAAATGGCCAGGCCAGGCCAGCGGCGGTAGCACATTAAAGGCTAATTGTCGACTGTTAAAGCAGGACCCCATGGTTTAAAATTTCGGTACAATTGTTCCAGTAAAAGAATTTAAATAACTCACTAATTTGTAAACGTCGTGAACATTACAAAGTCAACCACGTAGTCCCGCCAGTATTATGAAAGGTTCTCATTTCACCCCTACCATGTTACGTTCAATCTTGATTAAGCTGCACTGAATTTGAAAATATTTATGAGAAAGGGTAATTAATTAAAGTATTTTAAATAAACCCTCCAAACGAATGCAAATAAGTAGCGTCGGAGCGATTCCAGTTTCCTTTAACGTTTCTCCGTATATGACCTCGTCCTAACGGCCATGAGGTCAAAAATCTTAGCGTCCTTGAAATCTCAGTCAAATTTCCTTCAAAATGACACCCCATATGACGAGTATGACCTTTCTTGACCTTTGCCCTCGTCCTCAAGGTCATGAGGTCAAAAATTTTGACGCCATTGAATTCGTGATGAAATTTCCTTTAAAATGACACCCCATATGAAAATTAAAGTCAAACTTAATTTTGACCACACCCCCTGGCGCTGTGGGGTGTGGCCCGATTGACCCCACTTTCGAACTCGACCGAGAACTAAAAATCAGAAGCACAATGGCGAAAACGGGGTTTGATTATGTTGACTCGTTCTTGAGATATCCTGCTTACAGACGGACGGACGGACGGACAGTTGGACAGACGGACGGACAAGACGATCGCAATAAGTAGCTGACGCTACTTAATAAATACAAAAATTATTAAGTTGTACATAAGGTTGCTTGCTTACTTGCTCGGAAATTTACACGGTTACGAAGAAATTCCGTGTTTACGTTCCCTGCATAATGTGGGAAAGAAAAGTAGCATGATTTGTCAGTGGAAGGAAAAGAGTGGCATAGATATGGAGTAGCGTTCAATAGCTCAGTGGTTAAGGCGTTCGCCCGGTATGCGAAAGGTTCAGGGTTCGATTCCCTGATTGACTCTCCTCTATATTTTTGCACATTCTACGGACTTCCAGCTGACAAATAATGCCTACAATAATATTTAGTGTACGACTCTTCAATACAAAAAAGATTGACAATGCACTTTAATTCACCAACCTCTTCAGCACTCCTTTGTCGAAAAAGATCTGACCATTGACATCTTCACTTGACACACTTTCCCTTCCAATAATAAAATTTGAGTTAGAAATAAATACATTGATATGTGTGAACACTCTTAAAAATTGTACGACCAGTTTGAAAGTATGGAATTTCTGAATTAACCGAACTTTATATACTAAATCCAAACTATGTAACCTTTCCACTTCTTTTCCGGACTGTGCAGTGTGACCGATTTGAAGGGGTGGGTAGTGGTTCTATCCTATCCTTTTCATGTTAATTATTTATAACATGGGACATCTTGGCCACACCAGGGGGAGTTAGGTTCAAAATTCTCCGAAAATTTAGCACATTCTTTATGCACGCCCCTTATCAAGTTCACCTTGCTCTGGATTAAGTATGTAGTTTGGTTAATATCGAATTCTGACTCTATTTAAATTCCACAAAGGTACCATTATTTTTAAGAGAGTGACACAAATTTCTGGTCCATTTACTGGTACACTCTTAGCAAAATTGTATTAAATCATTACCGACCAGAGTGCATATGTAACATATAACTTCACGGTAATAAATAAAGGAACGTCTATAACTTGTGTCCCGCGAATGAGGGGGGGTTCAGGGCTCCAGTGATATTCATCGTGCCTATGTATCCGACACATGTTAAGGGGGAGAAAGTGGGGTGGGGGGGGGGGGGGTTCTAGAAAATCTAAAGTTTTGCATTACATAATTTTTGGACGGCACCTGATTATCGTATACATAGTAATGCAATATGCCGCTATGGTAATAAAAATATTTGTGACCACATTTTTAAGAGTACGTGGTACACCCATACATACATGAATATATTGTCTGACCATTAAATGAAAATAGTTATATGTGCATGCAAAGGCAGGTTAACAAAGTTTACACTAGAAATATGTAAATGTGTATAAAAACAGGTCCCCATTTATTTTTACACTTTACTTTTTTGGTTGTCTTTATTTTACTACGAGTTGTCTGACAACCCCATAAAAATTGATTGGGAAATAAACTTTACGCTACCGGTTTCCCCGTCGCGAATTGGACCCAATTTCATTTATTTATGTAAATATGTATGCAGGTATGTATCTGTGATCAAGTAACATTATTTGTATGTCAAATGTGTACGCACTAAATTGATTTTAACAACTCCGGAATCCCACTAGTTTCACATAGTGTACATTATTTATTCATGAATGAACAAACATATTTTTGTAAATACACTGTGTAAAGAAAATTTCGCCCCATACGTTTTTTGCGCGAGTTTAATCGTTCGAACAGCTATATTTTTTTGACAAACGGTTTCGCGATTCGATTTTTTTAGACAATGAGACCAACTGTTAAGCAATCACGAGCAGCAACTCGCAGCAAAATCCAAGTTCTACACGAAGAGGGATGTATGTATGTATGTATTATGTGAGGAGGATTTCTGCCCACAGGGGCAGCAGTCCAGCCGCGCAGGTCACCATTTGGACCTATTGCAGACACCTCAATGCACTCGCATGCGATTATTGTGTCGGAGTCTCTCTCGATTCCCCAGCTACAAAGCTGGCGAATCTACCAGACCTTAAAAAGCCCAGTACAGTTTTGAGAGGATACTCCCATACTTCCTCCATCCTTAACGTAGAACGAAGAAAGGTGCTAAATCTCAGGGCGCTGTATGCTGGACAATCTGTAAGTATATGAGCCATTGTCTCGTTCCCCTCCCCGCACTTTTCGCAGATAGGGGATTCAACTAGACCCATCTTATACAGATGCCCATGCAAATTACAGTGCCCTGTAATTGCAAAATTTGTTAGCCTCATACTTTCCCTCGTGGGCCCAAGCGATTTCCCACTGAGACCCTCATACGGCATTGGCAGGGCCAACTTTGAAAACTTACAACTAAGTAAGTTGGACCAATAGACCCGATGTTCCTTCTGAGCCCATTGTTTGATGGAAAATTTTCCAATTGCCGGGTTGACAGGGATAACTGGCTCTGGACCGCAAGTTGTTATACTAGCAGCCTCTTTAGCCAATTTATCCACGTCTTCATTACCCCATAAACCCCAATGAGAAGGGATCCAATGTAGGGTAATGTCTTTGTGAATGCTCCATTGCTGCAGCGCCCTATGAAGCTCCATCGTGAGGGAGGAAACCAACCGCTCACTAAGAAGAGAATCAAGGACGCTGCGATTGTCAACAAAGATATTCACTTCCTTGTGTAAACTTGGATTTTCTGACATGTAGTTGCACGCCGAGAGAACCCCAATCTGTTCAGCCTGGAAGACCGTGGCATATTCACCAAGAGGTATAAAGCCACTAGCCCCATCCATGAACTTACCACCTTCACCAATTATGAAGGCTGCACCAGATCCACTCTTACACTTAGACCCATCCGTAAAACAGAGGAGCCCTGGTAGCTTAGAGTGGTCGTCGTATGTATCTTGCCATTCATCCCTGACAACGACCCGTATTTTGAAATTACGAGCCTCGGGAGGTTTGACAGAATTATAGTCATACGGAAAACTCAACTCAGGTATTTCCTGAGCCAGGTTTGAGCATAACTCAATGTGTGTGGTTCTCTTCAAACCACGACCGTAACGAACCCAATCCAACCACTGACCACGGACCCTCAATCTCAGATATGATTGAAGAGCCACTTCCCTTAGCCGTAGGTGGATTGGGAGGATACCAAGCTGAAAGATTTATCGAATTTAGGAAATTCGTTATTATTTTTGAAACTCCTTTTGGGGGTTCCTGGTTTCGGAGAGGGGAAGGTTACTGACCTTGACGTGACCCCTGGAGGGACCTGAGACCCATTTCTGAGCCCATTAGCCGCGCTCGTCGGAGCCCGCCCAACTATGGTAGAGCTGATAGTTTGCCCACCTATGGCAGCACCACCCTCATCTCTCAACTTTTTAAGGGCCCTCTGCTTTCTTTTGAGAGAGCCACACTTGTTCCGCCTCTTCCTTGACTCCACTGGAGCCCCAGGAGCCCTTGAGGACCCCCTGAGCCCAATTTCATCGTCGTCATCCTCCACGATGATCGCCTCCTCCTCTGCCGTAATGGCAAGCTTGGAGAGCGGTTCGTCGATCTGCATCACACAGGTAAGTGTAATCGTCATGATAATAATAATGGCAACAATAAAATTATCAACATTTTTATAAAAAGTAATGGTAGGAGGATCGACGACTATATATGTAGCCATGCAGCCCAAACCACAATAAAACCTTACCAATTCTCCTGAGTTCACCTCCATATCCAGAATCTGGTCTTCTAAGGCCGCAGCCTCTTTGACCGGTTGGTCGGCAGACCCACTGATATTATTTTTTGAAATGGTGCTTTCCATTTCACACTTTTTAATTATTTTTGAAAAACAAAAAAGACACAGAGAAATGAACACCTGTCCTGTTTCACAGTTCGCGCGCGAGTCTCACGAAGAGGGATATGACCCCATGCAAATTGCAAGGAAATTGGGTTTGGATCGGAAGACTGTGTGGCGGTGGAAAAACCGGAAATCAATTTGTGATAAAATAGGACCGGTAGACCAACAAAAGCCAGCCCTACAACAAAAAACATGATAAAGAGTCGGATGTACCGAAAATTGGGTAGTTCGGTGAGAAAATGTGCGAAGGCGCTAAGCGAGTCCAAACGGTTTTTAAGAAAAGATAAGAAATTAAGCCACCAGACCGTTCAAAATTTCATTAAAACTACAACATGGGGTAAGACTGCGTTTAAGAGTTCCTGTAAACCACTTCTTAGTGCCAAAAATATTTCTGATCGGGTGAGATTTGGAACTTTTCTCAACGAAAACGGGTACCTGACGGATGTAAGGAAAAGCGGTCAAATATCTTGTTTACGGATGAGACATGGATTGAACTTTGCCCTCAGCCTCATCACCAGAATCTACGCTATCGAACTGAAAAAAGGTCGGATGTCCCACCCACTTTAATACTGAAAAAATTACTCAAACTTATGGTTGCTGGTGGGTTCTCTTCGCGGATCTGCACATTGTTCCAGCCGGTCAGACTGTAACCGGAAACTACTACAGGACCCAAATCCTACCTATTTACTCGAAAGCCTTGGACACTAAGCTATTGTTTCCAAAAATGAAATTGATCACTTTTCAACAAGATGAATAACAATGGGTTTAAGTTGAATGAAAAATATGGGGCGCAATTTTCTTTACACAGTGTATGCATCACGCAAATTTGTGCGAGGTTCTGCTGAAAAAAATTTATTTGATTCGATTCCATTCGATCAACTGTGTGCTTACCTAAATCACTTTCACAACAACGAGCAGATTCTGTTAAATTGTTAAATGGACTCTTATGTAAACCACCACTCGAAGCGTGCTTGTCACATATAATGTGTATACTCAAAACACAAATTTGTCAAATCAACACCGCCGGTGTCAATATATGACTTAACCGCTTTGGTTACAATGTTGAATCCGGGTTATGATGATTTTGTGACCGGTAGTGATAATGTTATAACCGGACGGAAGAATTTCATTACTGCTTGGAATTAGAATTGTAACCAAGGCGGTTAAGTCATATATTGACAACGGCGGTGTTGATTTGACCAATTTGTGTTTTGCGTGTAGGGACTCACCCGTAACTATTTACTTCTCAACGTTTTAACGGATTTATTTAGCTTGCAGGTAAAAAAGTGAGAATTTCGCAATTCAATTGTGAGATTCTATTTGTACAAAATCGTATCAAAAACATGGATCCATTCTGGCAGCTTATTCCATATTAATGGTTCAAAGTTATATCTACAAAGTCATTACTACTGAGTGAGCTAAATACTTCTAACTTTACAACGCTAAATTCTGTGGGTACATATTTGTTTCTAAATCGAAGCGATATAATTTTCACATTCCGTCACTAAATTCGGAAATCTGGATAATATTTTTCCTTTAAAACGTGCAATCGTGCTTGGTAATGCCTGACATAAATGATTCTTCTCAACTTCAAGATGCCCCATGGGAGGAGGTAGTAGCCGCATTATATCTTCGTCATTCTGCCACACCTCATCGTGCACCCCGGAAAAAATTGACAACATTTGTAACGACTCGCAAGGCTTGGTCTCTGACGGGAATAGGGCTTCAATCATGAACAAGGTGGCGTCCAGATCGTAACATTTTTCGCTTGATTGATAGCATTGAACTCCATCGAAGAGAAGTCTGCAAGATGTCAACGATTTAAAATTTCATAAAATACACATGAAAAAACTCGCAACGGAACCGTTTTTCAAAGCTACACCGGGATTTATATCAAAAAATCGAACCAAACATTAGGAAGCACATGGCCCGGCGACTGGCTCCTTCGAAGAAAAATATCGGCGGCAAAGCTCAATGTTTGAACATTTTTTTCCGATTTTTCCTCCTCAAGGTGAAAAACAGGGACATATTTATGTAGGAACTTTGATCCGTAAATGGGCCATCCAACGCAAACTAAGTTATTAAGGGGTGAAAGCCCTTTATAAGATCGTTATGTCCGTCTGTCCGTCTGTCTGTCTGTCTGTCCGTCTGTCTGTCTGTCTGTCCGTCTGTCCGTTGGTCCAATAACTTTTGAACGGAAAGACATAGACACTGGAAATTTTGAACGTAAACTCCTAACGTGGTGGGACAGGACGAGTTCGAAGATGGATACTGTGTCATCGTCACCTGGGACGATGACGTCGTCACGGTGACGAAAAGTGACGAAAAAGTGTCACATTTTAGTTTTGGCATGTGACACATCATTTTTAACTATTTTTCAACGAGGAATTCGAAAATTCATGTCATTTTACGTTTGGACGTCTCCTGTGACGATGACGTCGTCACGGTGACGAAAAGTGACGAAAAAGTGTCACATTTCAGTTGTGGCATGTGACACATCGTTTTTGACTATTTTTGAATGAGGAATTCAATGGCGACCTCCATTTTGACCTCAGAGGTCATCCAAAGGTCATAGGTCATATGTATGTCAATTTACAGAGAAATTTAACACGAATTCAATGGTGACCTCCATTTTGACCTCACGTGTCACGAAATGTCACTTAGAGGTTATTTAAAGGTCAACAACAGTTCAATTTGATAAACATGTTGAAGAAACGTCAGACATGTCAATTTTAACAGATCTTGAAGGGGCAAACACAATATTGTGTTCAGTTTGACGTATGATACACTACTTTCACCCCTTGGTTACATGCGTTGTAACGATTTATTTTTGAAAATTTTTTCCGATTTTTCCTCCTCAAGGTGAAAAACAGGGACATATTTATGTAGGAACTTTGATCCGTAAACGGGCCATCCAACGCAAACTAAGTTATTTTTTTTTTTACATTTTTTCATCATAATTTTTGGCTCAATTTTTTTTCTAAATAACTCGCTCAACAATCCCGGTGTTGCTTGTCAGCAATGTGTTCCGCTGTCAATTCGATTTGTAATTTTACTCTTCTAGTGATGGAAATTGTATCGCGGGGTCATCGTCCTGCACTTGGGGGGTAAAATATCGGTAGCAAATGTGCGGTGGCCAAGGCATCTGGACCAGCTTTATTTTTCTTAATCGAGGCATCTTTGGAAAGGCAATTGTTACCTTGGGACTGTCCATGTGTGCTGTGGGGAAATCATTTTTGAGCCTGTCGTTAACGATTAATGCCTACGTAGTAGTGAGGACAGATTTTTCGCGCGAAAAGGCATTCTTTTCTTTTTATCAAATTACTGCTACAATGGAATTTCCTCAATTTCACTATAAAGTGTACCAAATGAGAGTGTTTATTCAAGTCAGTTTGAAGACGACATTTAAGTTTCTGTTTCCCCGTCTTGCTAAACTTTTTGCACAAAAATTAGTCCTGAGTAGTAAAAGCCGTCCGTAAATTACATATGTGGCGCGAAATGATGGGGTGCGGGGCTTAGGCTTCATCGATACCGCGAATACGTGACACCTGTATGCTAAAGGGGAAGGGGAGGTCTAGCAATTCGCGACTTTTGCATGACACAATTGATGGACGTCCCCCTCGGTTCAACCCGATGCAAATCCTTTTACGATAAAATCTGAATACATACCAGTCAATTCAGTAATTTCCAATTTCTCCAGAGTTAGAGAGCAATGGTTTAGTAAAACCTGGAAGAAAAATACATCTTCCCGAAATGTAGGGTATTCAATGCCCACGAAAACCACGAACAAGATTTTCGTGATAGGAATTTGTATCCAGTGAGGTTGCATCAGGAGCGGGTATTGCGCCACGATTTTTTTTGTCACCCATTCCGATCGGACGACGAGGTAGATAGATTCAAGCGATGGTGGTGCGTCTAAATACATTAAAAATGTTTTAATTTACATTTCCCGTTTTATACATACGTTTCGTGTCAAAGTGTGGTTTAAATTTCGCGCTACAAAGGAAAATTTGGCAGACGGAAAATCCCCCAAATCAAGATTTTGGGATTGAAATTTTAGTAATTATTATCAAAACTGATGGAACACTGTTCATTGACAAAATTCATAAAGTTTTGACTTTATGAATCGACAAAAATAGACAAAAATTTCCGTAGCTAATGGAAATTTACGAATTTCTCTGATTGAAAAGTTTTCCCTTGTATTGTGACATTCATACGACCTTGCATATAAAATTATTACTTTCAAGCATGCTTAAAATGGCTTCCAAAACAGGGCAAATGTGATTGTCTAGGCTTAACACGGTCAACCTTGGGAACGCCCTTAGCATTGTTTCGGACTCGCTAACTTCTTGTTCCGGTGTGAGTTCATAGCTGGACTCAGGCCCGGGATAAGTTTGGCTGCGCACTTCAACAAAAGGACAAGGCCCGTTGACCCACAACGTGAGCTCCTTGACGTTCAGAAATTGTAGGCTCCCGTCAAATACGGTGTGGATTGAATAGCCTGGAATGTGTAAGAAATTACCAGTACTTACATATGTATGTATGTATTCAGGCAGTTACTAGATTCTAAATATATTCTTTATTAGAGTTAGTTAAGAAGGACTCCAAGTAAATGAGCCGGGAGCCTATGTCAGGCTCCGGTTTTTCTGGGTTTTTGGGGGTATGATACCGATACCCCGGGTATCGAATGTTGGGAAAAGTCTTAATGTTTAACAGGATTTTTGGGTTTTTTTTGGAGCAGATTGAAGATTTTTAAACTAGAACTAATATGGGTCAAAATTAAATTTTTTGAATTAGCATAGAATTTCGAGAATTTCTTGAATTTTCAAATTTCATTATATTTAGATTTCTGATTTAATTTCTGGTGTTCAATGTAGCAAAAAATAAACTTTTGACTTGTTAAAAAGTCAATGAACATGCTGTGCTAAACTATAATATTGAATTTTGTAGTTTTACTTTAATGCGTAATTTTAGGAATTATGCATCAACCAGCCCCATATTCTACAAAGACCCACAAGAATCTCAGAAGCCCCGGAAAAACGCCAGAACTCACCATTCTTAAACCAACTTTTTGAAAATGCCACGGAGGCCACGAGAATTTCCAAATCGGGCACAAGTTTTGAAATCTTTGCAGCACTTTCTTTTGAAAAACAGCGCCTTGACGCGTCAACATTTGATATGCATGGCCCCACAGCTGGCCAGAGGGCAGGCGGCAGTAGGGCCACAACGGTCGGCCCAGCACCTGTATCCAATAGATATGTAGATGATTAACACCAAATTACTCAAGCCCACATTTAAGTACTATCAGGCCCAGTTCAAGGAAATGTGGCGCCCTAGGCATAAATAGAATGGGGCCTGAACGCTAATTTGGCGCCCAAAATTTTTCACCATTCTTATTATATATGTTATCCCTACACAAATTTGCCTTTTGCATTTAATTGCATTTGCACAAATCACTACGTTTGCAAAAAATGTCATTGAATATTTGATACAAAAACATAGAATACTTTTTACAAATTTGTACTTGTTGTTTTGCATGATAAGTTATAAAACTCCACAAGCTTCTTTTCATCTATGTAGTGCACACTCTAAAGAATTTTTTGATGATATTGTTACCGGCGGAGGTACTATGCAACTCTACCGCGTGGATAATAATTTATCACTAAAGGGTAGCATATAAATATACAGAAGCTAAATCCTGCTCAGCCCCCAATGTCTATGCTGACGTAATAAAAATATCACCGATACCGGAGGCAATTTCTTACCCTCAGAAGACAATTTGTTACTATAGTGTTACCACACGGTAGAGTTGCATAGTACCACCGCCCTTAACAATTATGTCAAAAAATTATTGAGAGAGTATTGCCTTGCCCGCCCATGCCTCAAACGGGGCCTGGTGGTCATCCAATTACCATTATCTAGCCTAGACGAGAGCCAGGAATCCAAAAAGAAATATCTGCCGTCTTCGTCTCGCTGATGAATATATTTCCTTGCCTCGCACGCCCACTCGGCGCAAACGAAGGACAAATTAATCATTTCGTGCTTATCCCACCCATTCAAACGAGGAGGAAATGTTTCGTCTATTATTATTTCAAACAGTCTGGAAACAATCTAGACGAAGATATCACAAGTAAAGTGTCCCATTCTACTCGAACAATTTTTGAGAATTTGGTGTCACAAGCCAGGAAAGGATACATAAAACAAAACGGGTTTCGAAGTACTTTAGAAGAATCAATATATTACATCTGTCTGCTTCCTACACTCAAAACAAAAATTTGTCAAATCAACACCGCCGGTGTCAATATATGACTTAACCGCCTTGGTTACAATTGTGATTCCGAGTTGTAGTGAAATTTTTCCGTTCGGTTATAACATTATCACCACCGCTATCAAAATCATCCTAACTCGGATTCAGCATTGTAACCAACGCGGTTAAGTAATGTATTGACACCGGTGGTGTGGATTTCATAAATTTTTGTTTTTACCGTAAGAGCAGATTTAGGGTTGAAAATTTCACTGTGAATAAAGTGCTTATGTATTTTGAAAGCCGTGTTGGTTCGTCTTTCTTCAGCTTGTGAGAAAAAAATTCTTAAAAATCGTTCCAGGAGAGGAGAACACTCTCTGTATTTATTATAGGATTAAATATCTATATAGTTAAAGATATATGTATATGTAGAAAATCAGCGAATTTACCACAAAGTTTTTCAACGGATGCTGTTCCCCCATAGTCACAAGCCTTTTTGTCTCGTCTGCCATCTATTAGTCAAATACAATGTAAATATGCCCCTCTCTAATTAACAATTAGTGTATGTAACAATAAACTAAAGTACTTTATCATTACGTAGAACTATTTATGTGAGTTTCTTCTCGAAATATCTATTTCCTTGGTAAATTTTTCCCTTTCACAACAACAACACACATGTTGTTCTAGTAGGAATCGTTAAGGGATAGGAAACAAAAGTTATAACCCTTTCACTACATAAAACGATGAGGATCCAAACGGACAGAACTGTTAGGTAGGTACATACATGCATCACTCTTCCCATTCAAGCATTGCCTTAGGGCCCAGTCACATTTGCGTTTTTTGCTGCGTGATGCGACATTTTTTGATGCCACATCACGCATCACCATCGTTCACATTTGCGCCAAAAAATGTGGCAGCAAAACTTCTGCTGCGCGCAGTTTTTGCTCTCGCATCTTTTGCTGCTCGCCTGTTCACATATAATTTTGCAGCAACATCAAATTGCTGCCGCAACTCATTTTCCTCCTGCGCATCTCAAAATCTTGCGGCTTCTCCCAGAGAAGCAGCAAAGTAGAATATTGTGCATCTTTTAGTCAAATCGTTATAAAATCTGTTTAAAAACGTTAGTTCGCTTGTTTTTCATTGATTTTGATGAATATGCACTATAACTAGCCAAAATAGTTTTCAAAAATTTCTTTTTCAATGTTTGGATTTATTATGTCGACATAAAAGCTGAAGCGAACAAGTAAATGAAGGAAATCAAAATGAAAAAAAGTAACAAACACCCCATGTCGGATACAAGAGCACTTTTTATTTTGAATTTCTAAGACAAATATGTTCACATGAGTTGAGAATATTGTGAAAGAGTTGCAAAACTATTCACATTTGACAAAATTAATGCAGTGTGAAAAACTGCCGCATCTTACTTGTGGCGTCAAAATGATGCGGCAAAAAAATGATGCAAATGTGAACGATTTTGCATTTTTTGATGTGGATGATGTGGAAATCAACATCAACATCAAAAAATGCCGCATCACGCAGCAAAAAACGCATATGTGGCTGAGGCCTTAAGGACAGGATGCACATGTACATATGTACATAGGTATGAGTCAAGTTCCGGTGTATGTATATTTATGCTCTCTCTTTAGTAAACTTGCAATATGACCTCACCGGAATGCTACGGAATTGTAGTAAATTTTTTGCCACATTTTGACTAACCGCAACAGTGGGGTAAGGATATGCTACAAGATGGTAGCAAATTTACTACAATTCTGTAGCACAACGCAACCAATCCTGTGTGAGGTCATATATAGACACCCCCAGGAGCAATTTGCTTACTTTTTATTCTCGGTGTGTTAAATGAGGACTTGCAGGATTTCTATGATTATGCCGCGAAATGGAACAATTTCCGTGAATATTTCTTTGCAATCTGGGGTTTTTCATAATTTATATGTAATTTATTCTCAAATTTTGTGTGGCATGACAGTATTAGAAAGACAGTATTTAAGTATCAATTCAAGTTTCACGAATTATACATATTTATATATTTATTTCAATGTTTTTAAGATTAATTAAAGACATTGATTAAAAGAAGTAATCGATAATATATGAATCGGATGATTGAAATCTTTATTTTTAAGATTTTTAAAGAAAATACCAATTAAGTCATCGGAAACATCTTCATAATATTTGAAGCTATTGTACTCGGACGAATTTAAGTTTGACGTTTTTGCCGCGCAATCCAGCACCAATGATGGGGATGGATTATGGTACAAAAACGGCAAACTTAAATTCCTCCAAGTACAATAATTGACAGTTTGCATTTTCCGAAATTATGTCACGCTTCCATGTCGACAAAAATAATTGGACGGATCAAGGATTGAGACACGTTTTAAAAATGGATTTCGAATTTTTCGAAATTTTTCGAACTTAGAATTTCAAAAAAGTACAGAAAAAAATATTGGTAGAATTTTAAAATTATTGAAATCACCAGAGTCAAAACTTTAAAAAATCCTTATTACTTTTTTATAATTCTAAGTTCGAAACATTTCGAAAAATTCGAAATCAATTTTCAAAACGTGTCTCAATCCTTGATCCGTCCAATGATTTTAATCGACATGGAAGTGTGACATAATTTCGGAAATCGCAAACTGTCGATATTACAAGGTTCCGAAGAAGTTTCGAATTTTCCCGCCCAGAACTCCTAATTAAAATTTTTGCTTGTTTTTTTCAAAGAAAATAAATAAGATTCCGGGCGGCATTAGTTAAAATAAGGCATAATCACAAATTTTGGACGGTCGGCGGCATGCAAACGGAATTTAATCGAGTCCATTTTAGGAGGAGAACGTGCGATGTTTGCCACGCCAAATTTTGATGCCCTTCGGATGCGTTGTAGGACTTAAGCAGGACCGGAAAAGGGAAGGAGGGTTCGACTTTATGGGTCCATTTGGGCCGGCCACACCTACCGAAATGGGGACCAAACGCTAAACTGGAGGCATTTCAAATTCACGAAAAACCCAATTTTTTCCTCAGATTCAAAATAATAATTTCTCTCTTCAAGAAATTTCCTCTCCTCTATCCAAAACTATACTCCACTTTTTCAGTTTTCAATAGCAGTCAAAAATTTAAAAACTTTAAAAATCTACAGTTTCGTATTGCATCGAGCAGAAGAACTTTCAAAAAAAGTTTAAATTATGTATAGAAATCTGAGAATTTTCGTGAATTTAAAATGCCTCCTGTTTAGCGTTTAGTGCCCATTTAAATGGGTGCAACGGGCCCACATGGACCCATGAAGTCGAACCCTCCTTCCCTTTTCCGGTCCTGCTTAAGTCCGACAACGCATCCCAAGGGCATCAAAATTTGGCGTGGCAAACGTCGCACGTTCTCCTCCGTAGATCGAATTCCAATCTGAATACGGCCCATCTTCAAAAATCAGTGATTATACAAAAATAAAATATTTTTCATATGTAATAAGTTTCCTAAAATTAAGTTAATATTAAATATTTTAGTCAATATTTATCACATCGTTTCCAAAATGGTCGCCTCGAGTTGATCCACGTCCAGATTTGTGTCATCAATTATCACCTGATTTTGCCCCTTTGTCAAAATTTGCTGAATAATTTCCAATTTTTTCTTGTAATCTGTAAGTTCCGAATTTTTATCTTTAATAATTTCTTCCAAGCGGGAAATTTTTTCCTCTTTGGCATCGTTCTCCGCTACAAGATTTTCCAACCGTCGTTTCGCCGCGACGCGATTTTTTCTAGCCGCGATCGCATTCCGGATGTCTTTTGTGATGGGTTCCAATTCATATTTGTTTACGCGGGGAGCAGTTTTAGGCGCGGGTTTTTTCAATATTCGTGGTCGGCCCCGCCCTCTTTTTTGAGGTGGTGGCGATATGATGTCTCCTAATTGTGTGTCTGTTGCCTCAATATCGACTGGAGATGACGTAATGGAAGATAAGACCTCATCGAGCGAGTTATCTGGTTCTGATGATGACTCACTTTGTGACGTGGGCTCATCAAGTGATAAGAGAGCTGCATGGTTTATCAAATCTGAAAATGGCAAGGTGACGTCGAGGTCGTCCGTATCCATGGCGATTGAGCTGTCGTCTCGCCACGCCACCAAGGAGGTCAAGGTTGACTCGAGGTCAAAGGTGTGACCTTGGTCCGTTGTCAGCTCGACAGCACCAGCACCGACCGGAAACGATGTGAAGTCAATCTCACCATTCTCAATCGAGGAGAATGGTAGATAATTAAAATCACCGTTTTCAAACTGATGAGAGGGATTCATTAGTTCTGCAATTGAAAAATTGAAAACTTATTCTTCCATAATCACAAAGGAACGAAGCATGAATATTTTTGTACACTCTGAACAAAAATAATTAAAATTTTCCCACCCGTTGGACAAAATTTGCAAAATTTGTTGGATAAATTTTACACATCGGTTGGGTAAATTTTATTCAACGTTGGACAAAATTTACCTTTCGGTTGTGTCCTCCCCTTTTTATCCAACCTTGAGTAAATTTTAGTTATTTTTGTTTAGTGTGTATGTACATATACTTGGTGACAATTTTGTTACCACGGTGAAAAAAAAATCGCGACATAATTTACTTACCAACTTTGTATCGTATCTAATTGACACGGTCGCTGTGCTACGATGTTGTCAAAAACGTTGTGATGTTATCTATAAATAAAACAAATTGTTAAAATTTATTTTTGTAAAATCTGACTTTAATTTACATATTTGACATTATAATTGATTTGTGCATCATCCTTTAACTTTCAATTATTTGCATATTCACCTTTCTCCAGAGGTTTTCTATGTTTACTTCCTCTCCAGACTTTTCCCCATCTCCACGGAGGAGCAAAATTAAGTTGTTATTCCGCGTAGCGTAGATTTCGGACTGACGAGAAATTCGCATGATTCCGTATTTAAAGGGAGAAAATCAACGTACAAATTAAATTCGCAATAACACCGTGATACGAGCAGGTTGCCAAATTCTGTGCAAATTTAAAGCAAGCTGGAAAAACAAGTGTACGGAAAGGATTGACAAATACCCTCGTGACGATGCGATATGGCAAGATTGCAGCCTCGCGAATTATTTGGGGAACGTTTTTTCGCGAAAATTATGCGATGAGTAAGTACCAGTATTTACAGACATACATAACTTGACTGCGATACGTGGTGAGACCTTACATAAAATATGTCATCGATTAGTTAAGGGTGTAGGTAAAGGGTGGCATTTTTACATAAACATGATTTTACAAAAGTGCAGAATTTGAATCGTAATGTCTCGTCAACGTTAACTTGGTGATGTTTTTTGCGCACGGTCTCTAGTGTACATTTGATACATATGAATGTATGCAGGGAATAATAATAATTGATTGGTCGTAATAAATATGTATTTTCCGTCCTGGTGACGATAGGAATTAAGAATAGAAAGCCTAACGCATTTAAAAAATTATGTATAAAGTTTTTGTACATTCAAAATTCACGTAAATTTTTGTAAACCTTACGAAGCGAAACAAGAGTTAATGTAAATATAAATATGCATTTTTACGAGTCAATTAAATTTGCACCTAATGTATCAATGTATGTATGTACTGATCTTTGCGATCAGGATTGGGAATGATTTATTATCATGTAGGAAATGGTTTAGCCATGCCTGGATTTCGTGCATTTCCTAAACTTCCTGAGAAACAGGTAAGGAAAACCCCTGGGTTTTGCCATTGAAAACCCATACCCAGGGGTTTTACCTGGGTTTTCCATGTAGTCGGGGTAGTCGGGGTTTTGGGGGTAAACTGAGCCAGTGGCCCAGGTAATCAGTTGTGAAAATAATTTGGTTATGCAATAATTTTGCAGCCAAGCTGCTTATTAATTTTATTTTACTAACTAATTAATTTGTAGACTTGTTAGTAATGCCCAGTTATCATATTTTATTAAATTCGAAAACCCCGACTACCCCGACTACCAATGGGTAGTGCTCAAATTTGCTACCCAAAACCCACCAATACCCGCAATACCCCAAAAACCCGGGGTAGCATACCCTGCTGAGAAATTTTTTGAATGTTCCCGAGAACACGTGTAAACTCCTGATAACCCGCATACATGGATTGTAAGCATTACGATGCACTCTTCTCAATGAAGAAAATATTGAGTAATCCTTATGAAAATGGTGCCTGTTTGAGTGTAAAATTTATCTCAATGTAACGTTCAGCTTGTGGAAAGATAACACGTTATCAAATTATTTGGGGAGCGTCGTCTCCTACATCCACGTATGTATGTATGTATGTATGTAAAGTATACGATACGTAGTTATGTAAATTTCGATGTGCTAGAGGGCCATGCACAAAGAATTGGGTCGACTTGTGCCCAAGTGCGACTCAAGCCAGGGTATCGTTCCTGTGTTCATTACAACATTATGGGTAAAACGGCATAGTGGGGTTTCAAAACCGACCACGTGGTTAATGCAGCTACCGTCACGGTGGAATTTATTCCCTCGTCAGGTTTGATAAGCTACATATGTACATGCGTTTTGATATCTAGTATTACACCAGGCTTCAATTTGAAATGACAGAAATGAACGTTCTCAATCATTTGGTATATGCACCTCGTGATAAAAGGACTGTGGCGACGTCGCTGCTTTGTATGGTTTTTAAGGCAACGTCCACATGCGAAATAGGTCAACATACATGTGAATGATATGAAAGGGGTGGTGTAAAAACCTGCACTTTTTTAAAAACGTAATATACGGGTCTCCATTACAACTAAAGAAACTGAAGAACTACATATCTTGTAAATAAAGCCACCACCGAATATGCTGCATCTTTGCAAAGCGTGTTTCTCTTGGAATTCGAAAGATTATATTCAAAATCCTTAAATTTTTGGATTTATTTAGGCGACTTGTTGATTCCTAAATTGCAAAAATTTTAGAACCACGCCCCCTCCGGGGTAACATTGCGCCAAGAGAGGGTTTGGTTGGAAAGAAATTTTGAGGCACATTTCTTAGTTTTTCGTGACCCAAAGTACATCTTTACGTATGTATGAACGGTTTACACCCACACCTAATTTTGCAATTCATTCGGTGGCCGCGGATGTGGGGAGACATGTCCCCACACAGATTTTCGTTGGGATACGATGCAGCGCATTTGCTCCCACGGTCTCGTGTACAGGAATTAAAAAACGTCGTCCCAGGGGTCGGAAAACCCCGGGGGTTTTCTAGAAAATCCAAACCTCGAGAGTTTTTCGAGGGGTTAACTCCGCAGTTTTTGGGGGTTTTGTGGGTTTTTGGGTTTTTGTGGGTTTTTGTAGATTTTGGGGCAGGTTGAACCAAAATTCCTAAAATTATATATTAACGAAAAACTAACTTAATATACGAATTCAGCATGCAATTTTAAGCGTTATCATTGACTTTGACTGTTAAATCTAAACTTCATGTTTAGCATGTAAACCTGGAAATTCAAGTCTCACATAAAAATTCTAAAAATTCCATGATGAATCCAAGAGTTTAATTAGCATTGATCTAAGATGTAGTTTAAGGGATTTTGTTTCAATCTGCCCCAAAATCATACAAAAACCCTGGAAAAACCTACAAAAACCCACAAAAACCCGGTTTTGCGAACCCTGGTTCGACCAAGTCAACCCACAATTTAAAATGGTAATAAATTTCTTAAATTTTCTTAAAAATTTTGCATTTTTTAAAATTTCAGGTTATACCGAATATTGCGTTAACTTTTTTCTCTAAATTCTGGATTTTATTTAAACTTCTTCACCGTAGAGATAAATATGTAGGCAAGTGTAATTTTCGAGAGCGGGTTATACGGATAATGTCCCCACCGTCCAGATTATCTTCCCCGGTCACTGCACTCATTGCACATTGTACGATACAATATAGTGCATTTTATCTATTGGAATGCTTATCAACATATTTATCACTATCCCATTGCGGACTTACTAGGTATACTATTTAGGTGGGTGGAGAGTTCATATATGCCAATATATGTAAATATTGCACACTATATAGGTATGAAAAAACATTTAAAGAAGATCCACTAACGTCGCGGACTGCCCCGTAAAAGGCGCGCTAGGCGGGAACACAGTGAAATCATTTTTCGAAAAAAATAGTTTTGAATAGATCAAAGTATAAGCTTTCCATTGATATATGTCACCAATTATTGAGTCATGGCTATGACTAGAAAAACTGGGGTTGAAAGGAAAGAGTTGACAAAAGGAGTGAATGAGTTTCATAAAAATAAAGCAGTGTTTCCAAAATTGCATGACATTTTTTCAAACAAGAAGGTATTTCTGAATCCAACATCTACTAATACGTAAAAAAGTATGAGGAATCCAATGAAGTCAAATTCAAAGTCCCTACTGGTCGACCTGCAAAGCTAGAGACGACAAAAGTCAAAAATCGGATTTAAAAAATCTTCAAAAATCATCCATCAACGACTACGGCTGTAGCGGCAAGTAAGGTCAAGATTTCAAAACGCTATCTGTGCAAAATCGAAGTCCAGCAACTAGGGATTATAGCGAGAACGAAAAAACCAGCCATAAATTACAAACCAACCCGACAAGAAAGAATTCATAAATGCTACAGGAAATTTCTGAAGAAGATTCGGGGAAAAGTGGTCATCATGGACGATGAGCCCTACGTCACAGCTGACCCTTCAAATCTTCCAGGAAGGCATTTTTTCCATAGTTCCAACCCCAGTGAAGTAAAATATGAAGACAAAGTCCAAAAGAAAGACGAATTCCCAAAAAATGAAGAATTTGGCAATGTATCTCCAGCGCCGGCCATTTTTCCGATCCCGTCGTTTTGGAGGGCACTGCAAACCAGGAGGTTCATCTTGAATCATGCATTAAAGGGCGATTGGAATCGTTACTTACCAAAGATCATAAAAAAATAAAGTTTTGTTTTGGTCTGACCTCGCAAGGTCCCATGACGCCAAAAAGGTCACTTAGTACCTACATATGAAAAAAATTGAATTTGTGCCATAAAACGAAAACCCACCAAATCTTCCTCAACTGCGACCAATTAAGAAATTCTGGGCGCTGACTACATCCTAACATTCTAAGGTTTCAGAAACGCCAGACACCTTACGAAAATTTAAGAACAGATGGACGAAAATTAGCTAGGAAGTAGGTGCAGTCTGTGGTCGGAATTTGACGCGAAATCTGAAGAAGAAAATGCCATCTGTAGCAGACAGCGGAATTATATTATTAAAATTTGAACTGTATGGCAATCCAAACCCTTTAGTAGTAAACATATGCAATTTTTGTGAAATTGCATTAACTGTGTATAAAGTTCTGAGCATTTTATTGCGTTAGTCCGCGACGTTAGTGGATCTTCTTTATATAGCATTATTTGGAATTTTGTGCTCAAATATGTTTCCTTATGAAAAATTACAGAATTTTCCAAATAATGCTATATTTGTGCTTAAAGCTCCTTAATTAGGAAAATAAAATATATGTGCCTAGATTTGCAAAAAAATATAACAAAGAAATTGCAACATTTTGGCCCATTTCCTATTTTGGACACTTTTTGTGCATTTTTAACATTTTGGGCGGCTAATTTGGACAGTGATTAGAACCGTAGCGAAACGATGTCTCCGCCAGTGGTGGAGAAAGAGTGTAATCCGTAATGGTCAAAAGCAAAAATTTCACCTTTGTTAAAGCATTGAGAAAATTTCTAGACTTGCGTCACTTGAATCGTCATTACTTTTTCAAAAGTGATTTTAGCACGGAAATTTTTGCATATTTTTTCATACCGATATGGTGTGCAATATTTGCATATAGTGGCATATATGAACTCTCCACCCACCTAAATAGTATACCTAGTTAGATATTTTTCGCATTGATTTCACACTCAGATAAAATGAAGCCCATTTCTATCCAGTTCAAGTCTAAAGTACTACTCCTAGCCAATAATTCTTCTCAGAAGGTGATTCATTCTACGAGAGGAAATAATCTATCAAACTAGCGTCCAAGAAACGGTATGCGAAAAATTAAACATTGCTTAGCAAATGGTCGCCTAGAAATGTATTAATTACTTAAATGTCACTAAAACAATGGGAATTTCTTAATTTTTACTTCAATTTAGTCAATAGAAATCAACCCACTATCCTACTTCTACAGGGCACCGATCGTTAAGTAATACAGGACCATAAACCGGTAATACATCTTTACATAATTAATCCTTCTTATACATAAATCGTTCATAGCTGGTTAGCGATGTGACGGTTTTCAATTTGTTTTAGGCAGGATTATTTCGCTACCTCCCCATTCTCCACGCCGGAGAATTACGCGGAGACCGACATAATTTCTACGGTACATGTTCCCGAATCTTACGACTTCCTGGTCTCAACGGTTCATCGTTCCGACCCGATCCATCTGGAAGCGCTCGGTTTCGGTCAAGTTCATCTAGACCGAATCGGATCAAACGACCTGGCAGGGTTCGTCCATCCGAGTCTGTATTGACATCATACTCATCAGATTTCTTTACTCTACAAGAAGATCTTGCCCTTCCAGGAAATGATTTCATGAACCATATGGAGTTCACAGGTTCGCATTTATCCGCTTCCACAACCTCATTGCATGAGTTTGAGTCACTACCAACGTCTGCCCCGATAATTGACACGCTTTTACCTTATCCACCTGAGCATTCCTCGCAACCAGCACACAACGTTGATACGCTTTTACCTTATCCACCTGAGCATGACCCACAACTAGCCCAGAACGTTGAAACGTTCTTACCTTCCACCCCACCACCACCACCTAAAAGGGGCCGGGGACGACCACCTAATCCGAATAAACGCAAATCAACTCCAATCATTCCACGCATAAAAGCACACCAAATGGAACCCACGACCAAACGCATCTGTCAGGGGAAGGCAGCATACGAGAGACGTGTGAAGAAGAAGGAATTCGACAAACAGCTGCTCGCCGAATTAAAAAAGGCCGCCCTTGAACAAAAAGGTTTGAAGGAAGTAAACAAACAGCTGCGAGCCGACCTTGCCGCTAAAATAGAGGAAAATGTCAACTTGAACAAAGCTCTTAAAGCGAAAGATTTAGAAAATGCAGCTTATAAAAATACATTATGGATGATTCAAACTGCTATATTGCCGCCTAACGGGCAGAATTATGGGGTATCAATAGAGGATACAAATTTGAACTTTGACAATATTTAACTAACCATTTCCACGGCGATGTAGTAAGTAAATTACGCATTCCGCCATAATATTTAGTTACGTATTTCCTTCATTACAGCGAGTCATTTATAAATTGGCATATATCCAAAGATATAAATCTCACAATGCCCATTTCCGGCGATACGGGCCTCCAATATTAAAACAACTATATACCATTATTTCGCAAATGCGGAAATATGTATATATGCAAATCAAGTGACTCGCTGTAATGGACGAAGTGTAGCATCTACATAAATAATCCTGTTATACATATTTACCTTAAAATTTCATTCAAACACACGTTTACTGGAGACGATCAAATTTCTAAATGAAATAAGGGGACGTTCATAAACTTCATAACGCAAATTTTCGGCTTTTTTGACACCCACCCACCCCCTTTAACATGTGTCACATAGGCACGATATCATTGGGCCCTGACCACCCACCCACCCCCCTTTGCGTCATGAAGTTTATGAACGTAACCTAATTGCAAAATATCATAATTTTATTCCCGCCATGAAATCCATTAATCGAATCATACTCAAGTAGTGGAGATTGCTGCTGTTTAAAAAAACCTTTAAAGAAATCATGTACATACATATGCCGCTCTATTAGTTAGACTATTTGAATACACAATTTAATGGATCATGATCAAAGATTGAGACACATTTCATGTAAAAATTGTTTATGAATGAACCTTTTCGAAACCCTTTTACATATGTTCCTAAATTTAAAAACATTTAGAGTTTAACTTTGAGTTTAAAAGCCACAGAGTTAAATTAGGTATGCAAACTATGTTATTTCGCAAATACTGCATTGTGTATGTAAGTTCAGGTTAACTTATTAATTTAGTGTCAATATTATATAAGTACTTACTCTTCAACTAAAATGGTCAGCCACCTCATTAATCACGCGTTCGCGAAATAACGACTTCGAAAACCTTCCCGTATCGCCGAAAATGTGCATGTGAGATTTATGAAAGTGAGGTGACTCGCCCTATTAGATGGAGAGTAGGTCTTATAAATTTACATCGATATGTTGTCCTAGCTGAATAAATAAAACTTTAAATAATCAATTAACCATAACCAATTCTGTATGTATGAATGTGTGTATTTGTTAATAAAATAAATGAAAATAATGAATAAACTCACGTCGACTTTTGCAACCTACACAACTGCATAAGTTGACCAACATTAAGGCAGATTTTAGGTTTGCAAATTTATGTACAAGCCTATCACAAAACTTGACTTTAAATCCCTTAATGATTTTGAATATGGCAATCGTATTTAGTATTTTGCGTTTAAACAATCGACATAGTTTTTGGTATGGGTCCATTCATAAATAATGCAAGGCAAAAATCTGAATTTTCTAGACTCACTTACCCCCCTCAACATCTATCCTATTTATGGGGGCGACATCATTTTAGCTGCATGAATGTATGCAAAATCGCCTCTCGTAAAACGTTATTTATGAACGGGCCCTATAAATAGATACAACAAGCATTCATTTATCCATCTATGTATATATGTATTTTTAAGTGCATAACTATTTTGCTGAACGTATGCATCTGCCAAGCAATATTAAACGTCTAACGTTATCTTACGCATGTGGCTGGCTTATCAAGGTGTGGGACCATGCATGCAAAATGTTATCAATTTTCTAAAACTATTATTACCTTCTGTCTTAGGTATTATGTAAATATGTACAGATTTAGAAACGTGTAAACGATCATGAATTCTTCACCAATTTGTCGCATCCTTTCCGCACAGTCTGCAGATATGTATGCGTCCACCCAAACTCGAAACATCATCTGCATCGCATGGCTTATTTACATATTTTAGAGTGAAACGTATTTCAAAGTATTTACGTACATACTGATTTAAGAGTGAAACGTTTCTCTAGAAATTCAGGATTGTATGTACTGCACTCTTAGAAAACTTGCACTTGTGTATGTATTATATATATTAATAAATTGATGTATTTAAAAATAATTACATGCATTAACCCTTTATGAATGTACACAAATGCAATTTATAATTATACTCCAATGAATAAACGCAACAATATATATTATAACTGACCGGAGTACATATATACAAATACATACATATGTACATATATTAATGTGTAATAATGTTGTGGCAATGAAAAATTTGCCACTCATAAGCAAACTACTACCAATCGGGTAGAAACTTATTAACAAATCACTACCAGTGTAATGTGTCTAAATATATGTGCATATCTGACTCTACCAGATTTTTAAGAGTGTTCACATCTTTGCCAAGTCTAATCTGCCGTGGGTATTCATCCATTAACTTGACTCATGGGTGAGGTTTCAAGAGAAGAAATAAGCATTTTCCAGGGTGGATGCCACCTTTGCAAAAAATTTGCACTGCGCGTGGCAACACTGTTGAGAATCGTTTGATTTGATTGTAGTTCTTCACTCCATGCACAATTTTTAGACAGTCCTAAATAAAAACTTCAAACTTTGCCTTTCTTCGTCGTGGAGCGACTGCGAGGAATTAATAAAGAAAACCATGGGAAAAGGTAGGCAAGTAATTAAAAATTAATTAGTGAGTATGCTAGAAGAAATTAAATAATTGAACGCATATTAATAAATAATATATAAATATAAATAATTATCAGCACAATTCATGTTTGTACCTATACTCTAAATCGTGACCCGTTGAGGTGCTTTATTTTTCTTGTAAATCGTGAGTAAGGTGACGTTTCGCCAAAAATATGTCAAAACTAATGTACAGACGTTATATAAATATGTACATATGTCGTTATTTTAAAAAATTGTGTTTTTTTAAGTTTTATCCAAATCTATGTTTTCTGAAAGTATAGATTTTATTCTGAAAACGCCGTAACGTAGAGTTAAACAAATTGGAGGCACCATTCCCTGTCATGATACAAACCTTGTTGTTTTTGCATTCTGGAAACGTGTCATTCTTGTGAAACACATCGATTCTACAGGAAATTTAATGGGGATTTCAAAAATCATAGCAGTTTATTGCTAACTGTAGTGGTTTGTGCAATATTTTAGATGGAGCCGCTCAATTTTCAAAATGCATGCCAAATAATGGAAGTCACCATGTTATTTTTTTATTAAAATATACTTGTAAATTTTTATCACTACATTGCCAAGTCCCATTTTGCATCAATTACTGCTTGGGGGTGACATGAAACAGAATCCACCAAGTTTTTGGCCACTTCCGGTCCTAAATTACCCCATTTCTGGCTGATGATCACTCATCACAAATTTCTTGGTGTTGGTTTACTGCTAAAAATTCTCTGTTCTAATTCGGCGCATAAATAGTCCACGTGGTTTAGGCCGCAACATTGGGCAAACCAATAAAGAACGTTTACTCTAGTTTCCTCGAAGTGCCGCTTGATGATATTCGCCGAATGTTGGGGGTCCCCATACTTCTTGGTGGCAAAGTTCTTCTGAGGACGCAGGTATCTGAGCAAAGTGACCAAATTGTCCACAAAATGAACTATTGCACTTCCTTGGTTATAATTAGAACAATAAAGTGCAATGTTTCAACTTCACCCAATGGTTAAGGAGCCCAACTCATTACAACTCCGCCCCTTATCAATCGCACCCCTTATCAATCGCACCCCAGAGGGAGATTTTTGACAAATTCCCAGGCATCAATAAATAAGTCGATAAATTCCGACTCCAATAGATTAAATTTAATATCATCACTCCAAATAATTCGTTTACAGTGGATGATAGTCCAATTACTGTGTGGTTTTGTTCATTGGGGGTGATCCTTCATATTTTAAATATACATGAATGGTTTCTTCCACGCTACTTGGCCCTTAAGTAAAATTTGCCGAATTTTGTTGCAATTCGTTTCAGGTGTAGTATGTACTTTGAATTGTTGGCGAACTCTAAAAGTAATTATGGGACCGAGGGTCCTCCGTGGGTCAAAATTTTACGGACCATATTTTGATCATTCCGCGCGGTCGTTGCCCTTTTCGGTTCTCGGCCTCATAAATTTCCTTCTCTTCAAGTTTAACTTCCATTTTCTAACGATGTCTCGCAAGATACACGTCGAAAACTAAAGTTTGGAACACTTCATAGAGTATCCTAACCTTTTGTCGTGGAGAGCGATGACATTTTTGGTTTGCTAAATCCTGAGGTCTTTCCTGCCAATTGAACTCGACCTTTTCAATGTTCCAAATTGTCAAATTGCGTTTGGCACGTTTAAAACCAATTGCACCTCAAACTTATCTGGTGATTTTTAGTTTGGAGTCTGTGGGCCAACCGTAAGGCCGAAAAATTATCAAGGTGCCTTTATTTTTTTGACATGGATTTTCGAAGTTTTTTGGCTAAATTTACAATATTTTGAAAACCGTTAAAGTCAGCAATAAACTGCTACGATTTTTGAAATCCCCATTAAATTTCCTATAGAATCGATATATTTCACAAGAATAACAAATTTCCAGAATGCAAAAACAACAAGGTTTGTGTCATGACAGGGAATGGTGCCTTCAATTTTTTGAGTAACTGTATGTATTTATGCGTGTTCGAACATATGTACATGGGTGTTCGATTAATTTTCCCTTGGTGACACTGACAAGACGTCTTCTTAATCACACAGCTTTATTTACATTTAACACCTTACGGGTTACGTTTTGTCTCTAAAGTTATTTAGAGCGTAAAAACATACGCATTTCCTGCAGGAATAATGGATCCATTCGGAAACGTCAATCCCCCAGAGGTCGAAAACGATGATAGGATTTACCTCGTTCTTCCAGGCTCGGTTACCCTGAGACCAGTCGAGCTTCAAAATATAGGGGGATCATGCTCCTTACCCTCGGCTAGTCACATATCGACTGATTTCCTTCCCATGGGGGAGGGAACTACCTTCTCAGGAACTTATCATCAAGAAATTCCTCCACAAGATGATTTCAAGATACCACATGTATCACAACTACAGATCGATAAGCAGTTATCTACTACATCCCAACCACCACGATCCAAAAAGAAGCGAGGCCGCCGACCTAAAGTAAGAAAATCCGTCCCACAAACTCCCCCACGCGTGAAGAAATACGACCTCGAGCCGACCACGGAACGCATCCGTAACGCGGTTACTGCCCGGCGGAACAGAATCTTGGCCAAGGAGCGAGTCGATAAAATGAAAAATGACCTTGCCCTTAAAGACGGCATCATCTCGGGACAAGGCAAGACCATCGCACGACTAAATTTGCAAATTTCCGAGTACGAACGAAGATTTGAAATAATTCGCAGCGTAACCAAGCATCCAATAAACGCACCGATGGACGACACAAATCTTAACGTGGACTTCATCACGATTAATTTGGAGAATGTGTGACCTCTTTTTCGACAAAATATGCCATGTTTTACAAAGTTTACTACACTCTTGAAAATAATGCTACCATTTTGAAACGTAAATATCAACTTTACTTTTCAGTAATTTACTAATTTTGGATGATCCCCAGTATATTTTTATTGTCGGAATTCGACGATAAAAATTGGACTCGATCTAATTCCCACTGATATATTGGTACTGGGACCATTCAAAATCAGTAATTATACACATTTTCTCTAAACCTGTACCTCTGGACTGGTCGGTGACGATTTTTATAATTGTCCTAAAAAACGATAAAGGGTCTAATTTATTAGTCGAGAAGTTCCGGCGGGAGAAATTAGAGACCTCGAAGTACAAATATGCATCTGTGATAATGACAGGGTACGTTCTAAAACAGTATGTTGCTCTCCCCCGCAAATGGTTTGGGGCCGTGTATAAATTACGTCGTGAAAAATCGCGATTTCTGGACCTCTCCTCCCCATTTGACATGTACAAATGTATGGCAGAGGCACGATATCATTGGAGTTTTACACACCCGCCCCTCACATTACGTAATTTATGGAAGGCCCCTCAGGTCAAAATGTGTCTGTTAAAATATGTAGCAAATTTTTGTATTTACATAAATATATCCGATAACTATAATAAATAAAAATGAAACAATTTCGGGCCGCGAAAGTTATCAAAGGTTATCAATCATCTTGAATTATCTTCCCCACCCCCATTACCTCCAGATTATGAGCCTACATAGTGTAAAGGGTACCACGTGTGGTTGTACCCTCAACAAATGATAAATCTTCTCAATAAAGGCCACAATGGTACCAATTACAATGAAAATAATCCCCGTAACAAATGCAAAAGCTATTTTTCGTATTTTCAAAACCTCATGCGTAATATCTAAAAATGCCGCGTTTTTCAAATTTGGCCTCGTAAGTGCCTCCCTCTCATACGAATAATACCACAACGCGGTCAACCCATGTTCAAACATTTGATTTGTCATCTTTCTAATAAATCCGCCGCCACGATCCCGCTTAAAAGTCCAGGTAATCGGTTCATTCCGCACAATGGGGTCCTTCACAAAGTGACACTTCCGGTCTAGTCCATTCTTTCTGTAGTACAGCGTCCGTCTGATTCTGTCCTTGATGCAACCCTGCCTCGTCTTTACGATTGCGAAATCAAAAAGTTGAAAGCCGTCTGAAAAGATATGTACAACTCTTAAAAACAATATTAACGTTTTGAAAACTAAATGCACGTTGAATTCGCGATTATGTGTGTAAGGTTGGGTATACTATCTAACATAAGCTTTGCCCCTTGTCGTCTTACTCTGGATTTAGTATATTTGAATTAAAATGCATAATTTAGAGCGCATTTACTTTTCAAAAGACTGACATCATTTTCCGGATTGAACAGTAATTACTAATTTGGTATAAAATACATTAAGTACCAAGGAGGGTTAATCCATAACTTTTTTTGTCTGATTATCAACTCTCAATAGTGGACTCCTTTCTCCATGTTTTTTCAATTCTTTTGATAATTTAAATAATCTCTTGACCACAATTTTCAAATTTTTGGTATTCCTGGACGTCAGATTTGCCTCATCAATCTTATAATGGACACTATCGTATTCCAGCACGGTGTACTCGTCGTTTCCAATATTTATTAGGTTCACGAATATGGTGTACGAGCTATTAATCAATTCTTTGGAATTGGCATAAATATTGGGCTCATCCGGTGCAATAACTCTAGCTGTAATATCTCCCTCGTAGGGGAACAAGACCGGGATAAAGACGAGGCTAACGATTAAATGGAGTGGTTTAAACTTGCTCACAGATTGGCGAAAGAAGATGCAAGTTACACTGAAAAATGGATATTCGTCCGTTCGCGAGACCAATTTTGTGGTCAGTGCGCAACCAACGTACGTAACCAGTAGACAAATCCATGTCGCCAAGTCAAAGGCTCGGAATAACAGGGCAGAAAAGGCAGACGGAGTGTACGGATCTGGATCATTTTCGCAATATAAAATATACAATTCTTCCTCTCTGGTTTTAAGATACGTGGTAACCAAAGGATTCAAATTACTGTGTCGTGTGTTCAGGCCAAACCCATAGGAAAACATTTTCGGGGTATAAATCGTGGGGAGGATGACACCCCCTCGTTTTTTATGCTCTTTTTGAGCCAGTTCATAATCTAGAACGAATAGCGGGGTAAAGTTGAGATATCTTTTTAGTTCAAAAAGAACAATAAACCGTGGAGCAATTAATTTTGATAATGCGTGTAGCTTGGGCAGAGTTGAAGGATTCATTCGAGTGGTATGATAAACGTTTCGGTCAGTACCGTCCGGTTCGAAAACCCAAATGTAGCCAAGTTTAAAGTTTCCTTTGGGTTGACCCATTTCTACAAAAATTACAAAATTGTAAACACCTTACATTAGTTTTTAGCAGTTAAGAATATGTAAATTCACCTACCTTGCAAAGGATCGTACTCCACGACCTGTATGGGTCGTTGTTGAAAAGCCCTAAGCGCTGTTGCTATCATTCGATCGTAGTCAACATTTAGCACAAAAATGTCACGTATATTATCAATTGAACGGCGCCAATATTTGTTAGAAATTACATATGGAATACCCCGATTATAGGGTAAAATATATACCAATGTTTTGGCATTATCGTCGCCATAAACCTTGGGGAAATAAGGTGAAGTAGAATGCTTCACAATTACAACGTGCACTTTGCATTGATCCGATCGTCTAGAGATTGAGGAGGACATGTCAAGTTGTGTTGTTCTGATTTCTACAAAATCTTCCAATATAATTGGAAATTTGGGTTTCGCATACTCAAAAAAGAATTTATCCAGGTTAAATCGATTCCAAGTTGGGGGGCCTCGACCGATAATTGAATATTTCCAGGTGCATCCCATTCTTGTCTTGGTTATGACAGTAGGTAATTTTAGAGTGGAAATGATACCAATAAACAAAAATAGGAGAAGTATCACGATCTTGATTTTAAGCATATTTATCGAACTTGTAAGATTTCTAGTTGTATTTATTGGGCCAGTTTTTAAGAAATTGTTCATCACGGTTAGATATCTACAATAGTAATGTCGATTCAGGATAAGTACTTGTCGAGTAGAACTTTTTATCCATAAGTATCTGCCGATTTAGGTACGTATGCCACGGGTACAAAATTAATTAATGTTATGCTATGCTGACATTGGCTTAGATTCACATGCATTTATTGGTTAATTCATTTCCTGTCAACATAATGTTTTTACCGAACATCTAATTAAACGTTGTAATTTTGTTTGGTGTGGATATTAATTATGCAAATAGGAAACCGGTAAGCGACATTTTATAATATCTTGTTAAACACCGGATGCAACTCTATCACTATGCGTGATGATAAGTATGTAAGGTAATACATGGTGCTGTATTAGACACTAAGATATGAAAGTCCGCCACGCGCTAAAAATTATTACACGCTTTGTTGTAGCTTATGAGAGCCCTTTGAATGAAATTCTCGACTTTCAAAAACAGTGTTTACATGGCCGGTTTCTCTCCGACGATGTAAAACAGATCTTCCCAGATGTGAATCTGTATTAACGGGGAGCCCCTGGAATGAGTGAATATTGAGGGTGTTCAGTATTATTTCCTTGTATTTGTAGAATCGCAAAATAATTTACGAAGAAAAAGATGGGGTAAAGTTCCGTCCAAATCGAAACGACATTTTCAATCGTTAAATTTTATCAAGCTTACAAATTTACGTAACCTTCGAAATCTGTTCTACGATAGGGATCATCTATATGTTACGTCGTCAAAAAAATGCTAATCTTTAGGTTAACACGAAGATTAAACGCCTAAAACAAACCATCGAAATTTTTGATGACGGAGTATATGGAAGTTCACATCCCACTATATAATGTTCCATCTGCTTAGATTCCTGAGAAATTGTAATGATTGATTTTTGGTTATTTTTAATTGTGGTGGTGTTTTTATGGCAATAAATATATTGGTAACGAAAGGGTTAATTTGTATAGGAATGGAACGATTAGTTATTTATTTATACTTTTTACATGTTACACACACACATATTTAATGCATGTACTAATTGTTCCTGGTTTAGGGGTAATTTGATAATTTTATATTGGTAATTAAAATTGAGGCAATTTGATACGTGTGTATTTATTATCTCCGTTCCTTCTCATTTGAGGCAACGTGAGACTAAATAAAACACGCTTGCGCGTAACAGCGATTGCTTTAGCACATAGATATTTTGACCTGCGGTGGTGGTGGACCGTGACCGTTTATACAGGTCTGGTCGGACGTACACGAACTCGTGCCTACGTGACCTGAGTCGTGTTTATTTTGGTCCTTCCGAGAGGGGACCGTCGCAACATACATACATACATGCATCCTAACTTTCATGCTTTTCATGAACAAAGTACTTTGCATTGCATGCCTGTGTGTGAGAGCGATATTGAGCAAGTCGCTCATTTCTCTTCGTCGGGTATGTAATCCATACACCCAATATGTATGCATGCATATATATTTCACATGTAGTATTGTCTCAAATGCAAAATCTCAATTTTCTCAATATTATGCATCCTATTTATGTACACGTTTCTTTTGCCATTAACATTCTAAACACCATCCCTCCCTGTTTTTTTAGAAAGGATCGCAATGTTGATACACAAAAGTATTTACGTGACTATATTTAAAAAAATAAAATACCAACATAAAAAAATCTAGTGTGACCACAACATGGTCTGAAGGGCCATCTGATGTTTTAACAACATCAGGTGCATGTTGGAAGGGGTATATATCAATGAGCAGATTATTCAGGAAGGACGACTTTTTCGAGTAAAATGGGTTTTAGCCACCCACCATAAAGCCCCGTAGGTGGGGAAAATGAAAAAAAAATGAGGAAAACACTTTTTGAGGGCCAAGTGGCTCATTTTTTCATTCCCTTCTTGAAACACAAAGTGATTTATACATACTAAATAACACAAGAGCACTAAGAAATTATAAAAAATATAATTACTGACTCTCTCTGTCTGATATAAAACATCGTGTAATTTTTATTTTTATTAAACTGACAATTTTAAACGTAATGGAATATTTATCGGTAAAATAAAATCCTACAGTGCAGATTCCATATAGCCCGAGTCAGGGACAGAGTCCCTGACTCAGTGAGTCCTAGCCCGTTTCTAAATTGTTCTCCCAAATTGATCGACATAATGTCGCGAACGTCGTGGGCTTGTTTAACATTTCGAACTTGTGCTATCAAGAAGTGGTTTTTAGTCTCCATGCCAAATTTCAGATGGAAATAACAACTTTTGAAAACGGTATGGGTCACCTTGGTTGCAATTTGCTCTCTTTTAACTTCATATCCTTCCATGAGAAACCATTAGGTATCACCGTGCCGGATTTCATGTTTTTCAATCAATTTGTAAAAATCGGTATGGGTCACCCGATAGGGTCGCTCCAGAGAAGAATTTTACCAATTGCATTTCATATTCTTCCAATAAGACCTATTAGCAACCTCTCTAGCAAATTTCAGCTCGATATGACGATTCTGAAAAATCAGTATGGGTCACCCTATAGGGTCCCTCAAGATGCAAATTTTATCGTTCCGGACAGACGGACGGACATGACGGTTCCATAAGCCCTGACTCGGGCTAAAAATCGAGTGGATTATTTAATAAACAATAAGAACAGGACAAAACAAGGAAAATAAGATACTCCAATGGTGCTGGTGATCCACCACCTCACTTTAACCCTTCATACCCGTTTTCCCCACTACCCACCATTTTTACCCACTGGACTTGGGATTAATCTCAAAAGGTGGGCAAAGTAAAAGATTTTCAGTCCCATTCAGTCATTCTCTTGCAAACTTATTTCGGACTTCATTTATTATTAGGCCTTTTAAGATGGCCTTATATATTTGTCAAGATATCTGTCTGTCCGTCCGTCTGTGGGGACGATATCTTTCTTTAAACAAAAGCTATCGATTTGAAATTTTGCATGCTTCATCTTCGGGTAAAAAGTAAGGATGAGTTCGGAGATGGGCATGGTCGGTCAAGTGGTTGGGGGTAATTTCCACCCAAATTTGTTGCCATTAAGTACCAAGATGGCATTATTGCCATCTTTTAAGGCCCCACTAACAATGAAGAGGTGTGAGGTGCAGTGGGTATCCTAGGCTTGGTACGGCCTGTGGAATTTGAAAAGGTCCGGCCGGTGTGTTTCAGGTCATAATTTTATATTTAGGTGGATATTTATATACACCTACACTATTACATACGAACTTATGTATGTATTGCTACAATGTCAAAGTCTGTACTTACAACGCAGGGCTTTTACATGAAAGTTCAGACTTACTTGGGACCATTTTTGCATTGACCACAAAAGATACGCATATTTACCGTATTGCAGCACTTTTTATGCTTCGCTAATTTGAGCCATACCTGTTTACTTTCATTCATGTGACTGACTATGATAAGGAATGATAGTGAATGAAAATGAATTTCCTGTGGTTTGAATGAAAATGAGTGAAAGATTCAGTCCTATCAGATGAGTCAGTGTGAATGAAATCTTCACTTTCTTCATTCTTCACCGTATGCTTAATACATTGGGCGAAGTAAGAAATGAAGCGAGATGAAATGAGTTTGAAGGAAAATGATTGAATGCGAATGAAAATCTTCACTCAGAAATCAGGATAACTGAACTTTGAATGAAAAAAGTTTTTTTGAACAGTTTTTGAACAGATTTGAGCACGAGGAGTAAATTTTAAACTACTTATTTTCCACCCAAAGCATCCGGTCATCAAGATCGTTCCTGAATTACAGCGCGAATCGACAAATTTCGAAAACTTCCCACTTTCAAAAACTATCACATGAATCTATCCAGAATGACTTACATGATTTAATAACAATCCAATTGCAAATATTGTTTTGAATTTAAAACTCTACGGAGTTAGTTATCTTCTAAATTGCATAAACGGATCAAAAGTTCAAATTGAAGGACAATTGTTTTCGAATTTGTTAACTGGCGCTAAAATGAAAAAGTCAGAGGATTTTAAAAACCGGAGGTCTTCGCCGGAAACCAGTTTAAACTTCGCGATTCCCGTTTAAGTAAGCGCATCACGAAACCTTAGAAAATAAGGGTACATATTTTAATTTTTGGTAGCGAGCAAAATAAAACTGGTCCGATGAAAATCTGGGTTCTGCATGTAAAAGACCTATATTGTTAGACATGATCCTCTAATTTAAAATTTTAGAATTTCGTCCAAATGGCCAAAAGTGTCTGGGGACAATTTTCTAACTTGAGATTTTAAATATCATTGACAAGTTAAAATTTTGAATTCTTTTGTTCTTAGATTTAGGCTCCCATTTATTTAGCTGAATCTTCCCACTTTTGAAATTATCATCCACTAGCTGGAACCTTTTTTGACTTTTTTAGTTACCTAATAGTTTAAAACCTACACGGTTTGTATTACCGGTTATGAACGGTAAAATCTTAAATTGATGATTGGAATCATTTGTAAGCGTATTATTGGACTAACAATTCAAAAAAAGTGACATTAAATTAGCGCAGTATCCAAAACCGTACCTTTAGGCTAAAATCGCAAGAGGGAAAGGTTGCTCAGGCTCATAGAGCTCTTAGTGTTAGGTAAATTTTTTCAATGTAAATCAGGAAGGATATTTTATGCATTTTCATGAGAATTTGTGCAAAATTTACATTAGCTAGTGATTTTTGTGCTTGATCTCTTGACGTGAGGAATCCGAAATTGGCTAACGATTGCAACTAGCTACTGTAGCTAAGTGGGTTGAAAAAATCGACGTAGTGAAGATTTCAGCTAGTGGTTTATAGCGTCAAAAAAAGTGCCAAGTTTCAGCTAATAAGTGGTGAATAAAATTTAGCCCATTGTTTTTCAGAAAGAATTTGGGGCGTCAAAAACAAACTTACACATATTTTGTTTGACTTTTAAAGGAAAATACCACATCATAATATATGACCCTGTACGATTTTTGTGAGGACCATGTGATTTTTTCAAAAGTTTGTTTTGAGTTCTAAAATAGCTACCGGTTCGAAAATTTGCAAACTGAATAATTCATTTGCATATACATATGTACATATGTAACAAGTTTTGATACACAAATACGTATTTTTTGTTTTATCCTGCATTATGATTTTTCGGTCACGGTGCTGTCGCGCCCGAGCCGTGATACGGCCGGACCTTCGGTCCGGCCTGTGCACACCTCCACACCTATCGTTATGGACGGATACCATCTGGTGAGGTGGTTATCGCAGATTTGAAAGAGACCGCTTCAGTTTGATAGTCCAGCTCAATAATATAGAGGTTTGGTTTATCAATTTCCTGAATGTGCAGATTTAGCAAAGTTATCAGAGGTAAAGTTGGCGAAAACGCTTGATTTTTGGCTGTGCGAAAAGCGTTTTCGCCAACTTTACCTCTGATAAGTTTGCTAAATCTGCACATTCAGAAAATTGATCAACCCTACCTCTATATTATTGAGCTGGACTATCAAACTGCAGTGGTCCCATTCAAATCTGCGATAACCACCTCACACCTCTGCATTGTAAGTTGCTTGCAGTCGGTTTTTACTTTACTCTATGTACATATGTATTACTTTCATATTTATGTAAGCAAAGGGTGAAAAATGCAAGCGTGAAAAATCCTCTCATTCTGTTGAAATGACAGACTCTTTCAATCATTTCCATGCGAATGACAAGAACTTCATTCTCTCATCAGATTCAGTGAAATGAATGAAAGTGGAATGGTATGGATATGTAAATATGCATATACGCGGAAGTGTTGGCTATCTTTGAGACAAATGCATATTTACGAACAATTTACATAAATATTATATGTACATACATGTTATCGTTGTATGCTCGAAAGTGGAACAACTGCCAACCATGAAGTGTCAACGGGTTTCACAAGTTTCACTCACATACGAAATATTCACAGCAATTTATCATGTAAATTAATTAAATCCCTTGAATCATGATCTCCCACGTTAGGAGATCGACATGTAGATTCATTTATATTCTTGGAAGTCATTGTGACACGTTGTTTCTAATAAATTTTCGAGTTAGCATACATATTTAGAAACATACTGCGAGTTATTCTTGATTTCATAATTGTAAAGCACATCAAAAAATATTGTCCTTTCCCATCCAAGTTTTTGATAGTGGCACCTCCTTTTTGTAAAATTTGGGAACCTATCTTTTACGATACCAGGATTTTCACATACATAAATTTCCGAGATGATCAGATCTCCAAAGGATTCTCCTCCGAAATGCACGCTGGAAACGAATATATCCAAAGTTGGTAACATTATTGAAATGTTACCTGTAAACGGAGGTCAGAAATTTACAAGATTAAATCTCCCCCATCCAACAAGCCAACAAATTTGTGCTTCCGCCAAAATGTAAGTTTAAATCATATTTAGATGTACATTAACTACATAATTTCAGAAAAAATAGCTTCAGGATGGAGAAGAATTCTGGCATAAAGCCTAGTATTCAGGACGAATTTTCCGTGCAAAAAGAGAAAATAAGAAACTTAGGTAATAGTTTGAAAATTAATTGGGTTCCACTTTAGTGAATGAGTAATTTGACACAAATCGAACAATTTCTCGTTTCGCGCAAAAAAATCCGTCCTGACCACTAGGCTTAACGCGTGGTTGCACGGTAGCACATAAAAAGTGATCAGTACGTTTGCGCATCATTAAAAACAAGCAATTGTATTCGTTCCAAAGTTAGAAGTTAAACAGTGAGCCTTATGAAATTAAATAAGAATAGCAGGGCCAATTTTCCTCATCAACTGAGATCTTTCTTACCCTTGATGAATACAGGCAGGGTTTAGTTCCACACAGAAACATTGCCAAGCTTGCAGCACTGAATAAATTCTGTAACAAATATCTATTCGATGTATCTCCATCGTTTATACATATTTAACTACATAGACTTGGATAATCCTTACTTCGTAATATTCTTACTTCATCTAAACTTATTAAGTTGCAACAACATCTTCCCCCTATTTTAGCCACCGTCCCACCAAGAACTCAGCTAAATGCGTAAAAATCACCCGAGCCAGGATATTCATCCTAGCCAACACTGCAATCGTACTCCTCTTGATCATCTTGGGGGCATTTTACCCACCAAAACTCGACTTACCTTCCCCCTTGGATGGAGAAACTAGTAGTCACTGTTCTCCCCCAAAACATGAACCGCCATCTGGAAAGAACTCCCCGAAAATAAGCACCACGTTCATCCGCTCTGTCCCCGACTTGTACAAGATAACCAACCAAACGGCGCAAATCACCCTGGAAACATCCAACATTTTGGTAAAAGTCATACCTGTTCAGTTTCATTCATTAGATTGATTATCATAGTGAATGAAAATGAATTTCCTGTAATGAGTGAAAGATTCAGTCATTTCAGCCCTGGTGAAAAATTTAAGGGATTTTATGCAGAAAGTTAGCTAAGTTGTATGCAGAGAATTGGCTGGATTTTATGCAGAACAATTTATGCCGAAACAATGTGTGCACAAAAATATGCAGAATTATGCATAATTGTGCTAAACCTTTCTGCAGAATATACACGTCAGAAGCTTTATGCAGAATCGTTCATATTTTGTCTGCACAAACCATTGTTCCAGCCACTTGTGCAGAATTATGTCAAATTCTACATACGATTTTCACCCGGGAGATGAGTGACTGTGAATAAACGGATTTTTCGCTCTTTCCATTTTTCACCCTATGCTTAACACATGGGGCGAAGTAAGAATTGAAGTCAGATGAAATGAGTTTGAAAGAAAATGACTGAATGTGAAGGAGCAGAAATCGGGATCACTGAACTTTGAAGGAAAACAGTTTTTTTGAACAGGTGTGGGTGAAAGGTGACCGGTCAGACTTTAACTGGTCCTGTCTGCCCCGAATAGAACACCCGACCGAAGTCGAGATCCGCACCCTGACCAGAGACTGGCACTTCATCCACGACACGGTAAACTGGCTGAGCCTCTCAATTTCTAACTTAACCGTGGACGCCAAGCTGTTTAACTGTTCCCTGGATAAAATCGAACCTGATGATACCTATGATCCCATCGTACTTTCTAAATTGAGCAACCTCCACCTTAAAAATATTAGTGCATGCTTCATCACAAAATTTGTCACGGTTTTTAAGTTTCCGAACATAGAAAGCGTAAACATTCATGGGTCGGACGAGAAGGAGACGTATCATCGCACCCTCATCACGCTGTTTCGCGGACAGTCGGAAAAGTTTACTAGTTTGACCACCCTGTGTACGAATAAGTGTAAAAAATGATGACGGAACGCACGTCAAAGTTTGTAACCCTCGGAACCGCGTGAGCTTTGTAACTTTGCGGAACCACTAAGGAAATTTACGAACATTTACCAAGCTTACGAACAACAAATGCATGGTTTTTCATTCGGAAACAGAAGTTCATACATACATTATTCGAGCCTTTCATATTTTTATATTTCCGTTGAAATTATGAGACGGTTTTTTTACCTTTACTTTTTTTTTACTTTTTTTTTTACTTTTTTAGAAAAAGAAACGTTTACCAAAATGTTTGCATAGTCAACTTACATATATCAAAAGTGCGCAGTTACGTAGTTACAAACTTGCCGTGAAATCCCTCAATACAAGGAAGTTTTGGGAAATGTAAATAATAATTTGTAGACATGTATGTCATTGATTCATGTTTTTCTTTTTGAGATAAGTAAATAATGATGCGGAAACGGATCCATGCTTTTTTCAAATTGTTTGTGTTTCCTGAAATCTATAGTGATACATATTTATTTAAAAGTAGGAAATAAATAATATTAATCGTACATACATACATACATACATTTTCAAATACATTGTCAACATAAAGTGAATAAACATTTATGTATTCCTCTGTGTTGAAATGTTGTTGATCGCAACCAAATTCCTTATCGGGCATCGCGTATTTCACATTATTCCCTTATCATGCATATGTACATACAAACTTCCTGCTCATACATATGTTGTCACACTCTAACAAGCGACGGAGTGTGTAGGAAGCATAGGATAGGTTTATCCTATCGAATGGTTTTAGCCCATAATTCGCATATAATTAGTACGAATACGCTAATTAGCAATTAATTAGCGTATTGTTGTAAGGGGCCTTTCCGTCCCACGCAGAACTAAGGGATAATTACAACAAAGACAAGATACACACTTCACAGTATTTTACACTGCACTCTTTTACAATATGGTAAGTCTAGTAAATGTTGGTTTGTATTTTTGCCAAATAATTAAATTTGCGTCGCCTTATTACTCCATACTTTCACAATAATTTATTTATCTCGTACTGGATGCCATTGCAGGATAGGGAATTTATGAACAAAATTGTACTTATACATATATTTACTTTAAGAGGCGTACATAGATATTTAATGCAGTGCATTATTATTAAATAAAAGACGACTCCGTTAGGGAATAATTAAATTAGTGTAGCCTTTATACTGCTTCATTTCAAGGTAAGTTGCCTAAATGATCTCGTAATTGATATTAGCGATAACAAATTTATCGTAAAATCATGCCGTGAGCGTAACGAAATTAAACTGTTCAATTTACTTTAATACATATTTACTTAACTACATTATTTAATTAACTACACATATTTAGACGACGACACCATTGGTTCAAATTCATCTCGCGGGGGAAATTCTATGCCAGCACGTAGTCGTTTTGGAAGATCTAAGTCGACTCTTTCGTACGATGCAACTTGAAGAAATTACTATTCGGGATATAGTTCGAAATCCACAAGATTCCACGAGGGACAAGATCTACAAAGGTTTGCAAGCTTGGAAAGAAGCTAACGGAAGTGGAGCAACGGTGGAACGCCTGGTCGGAATTTTGGAGTCATTAAATCACCGGAATGCCGCAGGTGAGACAAAATTCACAACAATTTAACAAAATTCCGAATTGCTTACAAAATTTTGTGTGGCTTTCAAAATTCCTGATAAGTGAAAAGCTCATATAACGAATACGCTGTAGTATAAGACAGATAATCTTGCTACCTTTTCGACTGTTCCTTTCCACTTTTGTTTCTGTTATCAACCCTGCCGGTGTCAATGGATCATTTTTGGTAGTGGTGTTTCATTTCAGTAATTTCGAATGAAATTATTTTAATTTTCTAACAAAATTTCTTTTGTAATTGGCAAAATATGTCTATAACTATGACGCGTAAACAATACGCTAAGAACCTTCAATAATTACAGTAATTCCATCGCGGAAAACCAATATGGAATTGCAATAATTTTGCAAAACTCAATAAATTGGAAAATTGGGGTACGAAATCGAGGCAGTGGCCATATTCTAGTCCAAAAATAATTTATCAAATCATTAAGGGATGAAAGCCCTTTATAAGATCGTTATGTCCGTCCGTCTGTCTGTCTGTCTGTCCGTAGCCCCGATAACTTTTGAACGAAGAGACATAGAGGCTTGAAATTTTGAACGTAAACTCCTAACGTCATGGGACAGGATGAGTTCGAAGATGGACACTGTGAAATCGTCACCTGTGACGATGACGTCGTCACGGTGACGAAAAAGTTTCACATTTCAGTTTTGGCATGTGACACATCATTTCTAACTATTTTTCAATGACGAATTCGAAAATTCATGTCATTTTGACATTGGTCGTCACGGTGACGAAAAGTGACGAAAAAGTTTCACATTTCAGTTTTGGCATGTGACAAATCATTTTTAACTATTTTTTCAACGAGGAACTCGAAAATTCATGTCATTTTACGTTTGGACGTCACCTGTGGCGATGACGTCGTCACGGTCACGAAAAGTGACGAAAAAGTGTCATATTTCAGTTTTGGCATGTGACACATCATTTTTAACTATTTTTCAATGAGCAATTCAATGGTGACCTGCATTTTGACCTCACATGTCATGAAATGTCACTTGGAGGTCATTGGAAGGTCAACAACAGTTCAATTTGATTCATATATTGAAGAAACGTCAGACATGTCAATTTTAACAGATTTTGAACGGGCAAACACAATATTGTGTTCAGTTTGACATATGACACACTACTTTCACCCCTTGGTTACATGCGTTGTAACGGTTTATTGTTATTGGTTTTTCTTTAGTGTTGGTAAGGATTTGTGTAACTAAGGAGGGGAGCTTCACCACCTGCCCTTCGCAGATCTCGATGCCCTTCGGATATGTGGTAGGGTCCTATGAGTGTACTAAAACCCCGAAGTGGTTTGACTCCATGGCCACATTTGCGCCCGCCACACCCACTCAAAGGCGCCAAAAACTCGAAAAAAACCCTGTTTTCATGTGCTTTAAATGTCGCCAAAAATCCAATTTTGCTCGGATTTTTATAAAATTTACATTTTTGTGATCCTAGATACTTGTGTGATCATATCCAGTAGATATCTCAACTTTTTTGAAATTTTGAATTTTTGCGAATAATTCATCAGCTCGAAAATTTCGAAAATTTCAAAAAAAATGAGATTGCTATTGGATATTATCACACAAGTATCTGGGAGCACAAAAATGCAAATTTTATAAAAATCCGAGCAAAATTGGATTTTTGGTGGATGTTTGAAGTTGGTAACTTTTGTGGTTTTCATCCCTTTGAGGGGGTGTGGCGGGCGCAAATGTGGGCATGGAGTCAAACCACTTCAGGGTTTTAGTACACTCATAGGACACTACTACATATCCGAATGATATCAAGATCTGAGAAGGGCAGGTGGTGAAGCTCTCCTCCTAAGTGTAATTTGTAATTAATTTTTTGGCTTCAATTAAGGCCCAGTTTAAGTTTCACAAATAAATAAAAATTGTCGAACATTTCCAAAACGACTTTCGAGCTTGACAACCATAAATATGCAAGAAAACGCATATATTTAGGTGCACATTAATTATAATTTACATCTTAGTTACTAATTTTTCGTGCAATTTTGAGGAACAAATTGAAATACGGGGGCACTGCCACCGGTCCAGCGGATGAAGTTTTTCAATCAATTTTTGAAAAATATGGTGCCTGAGACCTATGTCTTTGCTAAGTGAAGCCTGCTTTCGCAAATATTAATTTCCTTCCTCGCTGAGAGCAATTAAAAGACAGAATTGGGCCATTTTCGATGCTTGTAAAGTTGTACTACACGTGCGGCAGTACAAATCAAATGGAAAGGCTTCACTTAGCAAAGACACAGGTCTCAGGCACCATATTTTTCAAAAATTAAATGAAAAACATCATCAGTTGGACCGGTGGCAGTGCCCCCGTATTCCAATTTTTTCAATAAAAATTGCATGCAATCAAATGAGTAACTAACAATGAGAAGGTGTCAGGTGGTTATCGCCAATGTGGACCGGACTAATTTTACATTGTTCAGGCTCAAAAATAAGCCCACCCGTATTTTTTCCTTTTTCTGAATGGGCATGTTTACCCCCGTGGCAGAATTTTCAAAAAAAATTTCAGCCAAAATTCGGATTTTTAAAAACGCTCTAACTTTTCGAGTTTTAGCCCGATTTCAAAAATTGAATAGTTTGTGCTCAGAATTACATCCCTGAAAATATAAAAATTCATTTTTAAAAAACTTTTAATTTTCAAAAAATTATCGTTTTTGGGGTTTCTAAAAACTCAGAAATAGCATGAAAATATCAATTTTTTTAAAATTTTGAAAATGAATTTTTATATTTTCAGGGAAGTAATTCTGAGCACAAATTGTACTCAATTTTTGAAATCGGGCTAAAACTCGAAAAGTTAGAGCGTTTTTAAAAATCTGAATTTTGGCTGAAATTTTTTCTGAAAATTTTGCCAGGGGCGTAAATGTAAATAAATGAAAATGGAAATGGAAATGTAATTAATCTGTATTTGAGTAATTTTTGACCAAAGTAATTGTATAAAGTTGTAACTAATTACCCGACCAATGTATTTACATACATAGTTGGTAATTGTATAAGTACATACTTAATTGCGCTCGTCGAGCGGTTACAGTCAGGAGCAAAACGATAAGCGATATGGTTTTTTTCGCTTAGTTTTCACATCAGTGTACCGAATGACTTGAAGCTTTACACAAATCTGTATAATTGCATTACTTACTTATAACATTAGCATGACATTCCAGCTTCATCGGAAACAGCTCGTAGCTAGAAAAAATTGAAAAATAGGTGGTGCAAAACGATAGGCGATGATCGATATTTTTTAATTAAAAGTCTATTTATTTTACTGATCAATATTTGAAGTTTCTAGTGACTTTTGGTACTTCGACGACCCTAATGCTTTGAAATAAATTCATTACGTCGGGGGTACAAGGGGCCCACGAGCTATTAGAGCGCCTGTGTCTCCACTCTCGCCTAAGTTTACAAAATTGCATCTTTCATCTGGGTGACGTTGTCATACTGCCAGGCCCCGTTCTAGGTAATGTGGCGCCCTAGGCAAAATTATAATGGCGCCCCAACGTTTTTGTTCCTTCGGCGCTCGCAAAGACTTCTGCTAATTTGATTTCACTTAGCTGAATTTTCAAAAATACCAATCAGGTTACTTAATAATAAAATTAATTATGATTACGAAAACAATAATTAGCAGATATATTTTTGTCGTCACAAAGACAAAAATGATTGAATTGAAGTTGTTGCATAATTTGTCATTTCAAAATACTGAAAACTGAAAATCTATATTGGTCGGCGGCGGCCGCGCTCCGCGGCGTGGTGAGCAAATATCGGCGGCGCCTACATAAATTACTAAACATATCTGCACTAAATACATAGGGTCTGAAACCTGCCAATAATCGGAAATATACGATATTTCTTGCAAAATGAATGTTTTCATTAACTTTTTCTTCATCATGCACTTTCGACAAGTTTAGAGCATTATTGAAAATGTAATATTTGACGATAGGAAAATTTTTATCATATCAATTTTCAAAATTAAAGAAAAATAATTTTTAACAAAATAAAAAAAATAACTACATTAAAAAATTAATCAATTTAAGTATAAATCGGCGGCCGAATATTGGCGCCGGCGCGCCGACTAGATTTTAGCGGCGGCGGCATCGCGTCAAAACCGTTCGGCGCCCGGCGGCGCGGGCAATCGGCGGCGTTGACCTCTGAGTTTAAACTCTTGGAAACGTATTTTTGTATTTCTATAGAAGTAATTTTGGGCCTACATGTTCTTTCATTTCTGAAATATCGTTAAAATTGGAAAATTTGCAGGCTTTTTAAAAATCCTGATTTTAGATGAAACTGTATTCAAAAACTCTGCCACAACCGAAAACTTGCGTATTGAAATTCCGTGAAGGGTTTCATGATATTTCGGTATATGGGCAATTTAAAATTAGGTCAAATTACGAGCAAATTACTACGCATTGCAAGTTGAACGAAATTATGATGGAATCCGAAACCGAGAATATTTTTCTCTCTCGGGATAAAAATTTCTCGATAGAAATGCAAACTCTCGCTTATGGATTCCGTCATAATTTCGATTAAGCCGAACATCATGAGAAATCCTGAAGCACGTGTTTAATTATGTATCTCAGTCTACATAATTATCGTGGTTTCGTCAAAACCAGCGCGACACCGCTGGCGTTATGGACTTGTACTTCTCGCCTTCTGAGGCCTTGTTGCTAAAAAATTAAAAGCACAAGATTTATAAATAAATTCCAGTTTTATCCGGCAGAAATTTCAAGCTAAAGTTTCATTCAAGCAAAGTATTGTGCAACAGATTCCAGTCACAATAATTGAAACGCTCGGATGTAAAACAGCCTTCGCGACAATTTTTTTTTTAAATTCAACCTATCTATCTATTCAACCTATTTAAAAAACCTATCAGTACAGCTTTGCTTAGCCCGAGCCAGGAATGTTTAGTAAACTCATGTTTGTCAGAATTTTCTATAAAAAATCGAAATTCAGATCTTAACTTATTTTTCGCATCCATACTAAAATTCAGCTGAATATTGAAACTAATAGAAATCGGTATGGGTCACCCCCAAGGGACCCTCTTGTTACTTGTTGTTCATATTTGACTTCAAATTATTTCATGAGAAGTCATTAAGTGTCACCGTGCCGAATTTCAGCTTCTTACGTCAATTTCTAAAAATCGGTATGGGTCACCCCAAAGGGTCCCGGGCATGAAAATCCGATGGACACTCGGATTCAAAGAGTCGCACTTTCAACAATGTATCGTCTGCAAGTGAACAACCAATGGTTGGGATGGTATGGGAGGGGATTCAAAGGGCCTATGTCACACATGGACTTTTGCAATAACCTCTCTAGTAAAGTAACTATTGACGGGCCTGGGAAAACCGACCGTAGAGAGTGGGCTGTAGAGAGTGGGCTGAACAAGCAAACAAATCCAGGTGGCAGGATACTCATCTGTGTAAGCAGACCGAACTCTTTCTTAACCTCTTAAGGACGAAGTACACACATTTGTGTAGTATTTTATTTTCCGTTGAGGACGAAATACACAAATTTGTGTAATAATTTTATTTCCCTTGGGGACGAAATACACACATTTGTGTAGCAGATGATTTTCCGTTGAGGACGAAGTACACAAATGTGTGTACCGCATAAATTATCCTGACACCCAAGTTTCTCAAAAATAAGAGTATTTCTTCGGTATTTTTTGGAAAACTCTATGGTAAAAAGTGGATTTTTTCGGGTATTTTTCTTCACAAATTTTGGAATTTTCCCTATACCGACCAATGTTAAAAAGTGGATTTTCGTGTTTTTCGCAAAAAAACTCAAAACTTGGAAACTCGTGGAAATAAATGTTCCGTCTTTTATAGGAAATCACGAAGGTTTTAAATGGTTGCTATCAGGTGTAATTATGAAATCGACATCGTACCCAAGCGAAATTTTGCTTAAAAATCAGTAGTATGAAAGAGGTTAAGGAGCCATATCAGGAAAACTTGGGAAACATCATAAAATTAAACCGTAATTCACTGCACCAATTGTTCAGGTAGTAACGGGGCATAATAATTTGAACTCACATCTGTATAATTTGAACCTGGTGTCGTCCACTGGCTGCTTATGCGGACAAGGGAAGGAAACAGGGTATCACTTTATTGCAGAATGTGATTTTTTTGCGATGACCAGATTGGTAGTACTCGAAGGGCTTTATCTAACCTCCGAGGAATTACTTGAAATGCCGTTTGCCAGATTAGCAAGATTAATTGCTAAGTCTGGAAGATTTTTAAACGATCGCGAATGGCAGATTTCGCAATATTAAACGCAAGTGCCCTTAGGGGAGTCGGTAATTAGCCTTTAATGTGCTACAGCCGCTGGCGTGACTGCCTCTATTAATGAGTAGTCTGGTCACCCCACAGTGCAAAATTTGACCCTTTCTAAAGAAAGGTCCATCTTCTGGATTGTGCAAGGAAGGTTTCCGCCTATAATCCGACTTAAAACCTTTGGGACTTACCGTTGTGCGAAAGGGATCACATTTCAAAGCAGTATGACAACGTCACCCAGATGAAACAAGCAATTTTGTAAACTTAGGCGAGAGTGGGGAAACAGGCGCTCTAATCGCTCGTGGGCCCCTTGTACCCCCGAGGTAATGTATTTAGTTCAAAGCATAAGGGTAAAAGCATTAGAAGTATTTAACTAGAAATTAATAACAATCCAACAATTAACCAACACTGATAAAGATCAGAAAAAATCGATAAAAAGGAATATATGGCACACTCTCACCATACATAAATATTGTATTATAGAAACTATACAAAACGCGGCTGGAGAATTAGGTCCTCAAGAGGTCCCCCAGATTCCGGGTAGTTCCGCACCCGTCCGCATCGAGGCTCCCTCCGCAGCAAATTTGGAAGACGAATCTCGCGGTCCACTTGTGGCTCAGGAAACGACTGCGACTCTTACAATTAGCAATGGCTCACAACCAACCCATGATAACGCTGACGCACAGATCAATGGTAGTAAGGATGTTCAACATTTTTTCAAAATGTTCTTCAAATAAATTACTATTTTTAAGTTTTGTAAGATTTTGTAATCCAAAATCACGCCAAGATTTTTACACAGCTGGATAAATATCTTGATTTTGTTCGTAAATTTAACATATTTCGAAGAATTAATAAATACCCTCATTACAAAATTTAATGAAGGTATTCATCATTACTTCATAGTATGAAGCTTATTCCCTTGTACATAATATCGCAAAATAGTGTACGAAGAAACAAACAAGGGGTTCAGCTTCATAACAATCTGAATCGTACCAGCGTGATTTTGGATAACAAAATCTTTTAACCGTCGAAATTTACTTTACGATATGAAAAACAGGAAGAAATAATGAGTAAGGTCAACAATGTCTTTGTTTTACAGGATATATGAAAAATATCAAGGCCCAAAGGCGACCCATTTGCAGAAAAAAGAGACTGACGATAAGTTTATTAATTACTGGAATCGTTATCGCATCTTTGTTAACTGCATGGATTCACGCCACCATAAAGACCAAACTTCTGAACAAAGACCCCGCCCAGGGAACGGAAGTCGCCACACCTATACAAAATTATCATACTACCCCACCAGTTGCGAAAGGGCGGGAAAATTTATGCTTACGTTTATCAAAAGACGATAAACAAAGATGTCGTGAAATATCCCCGCAGAATGACAGACTTGTCACATTAAATTCTAATAACCAACACGATTTCTGTGACGGGGAAACCACCGGACGTTTCCTGGGGGGTAATCTGAATGCCTCCTCCGGCCAAGAATTTTGTCCCCATAATCTCGTCGCGCTTGAAATTTTGGTTACAATAGAAGGAAATCAGCTGACCAATTTTCTGGACAGGTATTGCCAATTGAAATCACTTTCATTCGAGAAGAATGCTTCACTACTGGGCAGTATAGCTTACCCGAAGGAAAAGCGGGATTTTCCACTGGAATCGTTATACTTCATTGGAACGTTAAATGTCGTAGAAATTCTGAATAATCTTTCCGAACATTTCGGGTTGCCTTGTTTGATTGAGATAAATCTAGTTTGTATAAACATGATGGCGGGGGAAAATGCCAGTATTCGCACGTTTGTAGCGTCACATACAAGTGTAAGACGGATTAATTGTAAGGATGACGACTTTTGTCATAATTTGGCAGATATAAAGAACACAAATGAATTAAAAGTCAACTACGCTAGTACAGGTTGTTGAACGTTTTGTTACGAATTTGTATCAAGTCAGAGTTGACAATGATGAGCTGGTATGTATCTCGTAACACTCGAATAAAGTATTGACTGGATCCGTTGTCACTTATTTTAATAGTTGGATTAAGGTGCGTCCCTTACAGACACCTTGGTCCAGGGAGTTAATTAGACAAATCGTCTTGAGCAATGGATGGCGTCGACACGCCGCCAAAATTATTATTGCTCGTGTTACCCCTGAACTTATCAACGTCTTGTTAGGAGTTTGGATCGGTGTCCAAACTGTCCGGGACTACCGCCACCCCAATGGCGTTCCTTAAGACGAATATATGTAGGAACGCGTTCAATGAAGTACGGCGAGACAAGCTGTTCGGGACCACTTTCTCGCAAATTTTCCATGGCGCAAGTATGTAACTGCGCGAAACTACCATGATCAGGTCGATGGTGCCGCCATGAGACGACGTAATTCTGGGAACGCTCCGCTCGGCGGTAGAGCCTTTGGGATGCTCCAATAAAGACGGGAAGCGTCCCGACGGAATTACGTTTACCTATGGTCAAGGGGGAAATCTTTGATTTAGAATTTTACATGCGCGGACATATTCGCCCCCAGTTATTTTATTCGACGCTGCGCTGCTAAGGCGCTGATACCAGCAGCGCAGAGGGGGAAGTACGCCTTCCTCTTTGATCATTTCAATTTTATTCCTATCGCAATGGACACGCACGCGTGTGTGGGGGGAAAGGAGGGGCTTTCCCTTATGAACGAAATGAAATTGCCAGAATACGTCCACCTTTTCCCGCCACACAATCTCGCTGGGTATTCGGCGGAGAAACGTTACCTCTCTTTAATGAACATTTTCGGCCAATTTTTAATTTATTTTTACTTTTTCATTGTAAGTATATGAACGACTTTTTCATTAAGGTTAGGAAATTTGAATGTTCGACTCCTTCGTAGTCAGCTTTTCTGACATATGGATGTGATATGATAATGCGTTCGGAGGGATATTAATTATGTAAAATACCATATTTATATACTTACTTATTTTCAAATTCTGTTATATATATAACTTTTTTAAATCTAATTTGAGGAATAAAATAAAAAAAAGGTTATAATTTGATTATAGTCTACTTACTTCTGTACACGGAGTTTTAGTGTAATAACCAGAAAAAAACATTACTTCTCAATTTTAAAATGTTATCTGCAATTCATTATCAAGACCCGTATAGAAAAAAGATGAGAAGTTTGTCACAAAGATGTAGGAAAAAATCACAGGTTCGTTTTTGGATATTCATAAAAACTCATTGCATGTTTATGTCATTCGATACAAACAATTCTGCGACGCCAGAGGTCTCACTCCCATTTTGCCGAAACCACGATAAATTTGCACTAACTTTGTCTAAGCCTGTGTGTGAGCATACTTTGGGAGACATCCATTGTTAGTTTAGATGGATGGGGAAGGATGCCTTTTTTCCCACAACCTTCTTAAATTTATGTATGTACCAATCGAAACCCTGTTTCTTAATTGAGAGCTAAAAATATGTGCATAATGTGCCTGGTTAGCAAGTTAACCCTTCGACAGAAACGCTAAACCCTTCACATTCCCAATAAAATTTTCCAATTGCACGAAGGGTCATGTTTCCCTTGATGGAATATCTGTAGAGGGCAATAGTCGCATTCTTCTCTATTTAATGGTACACACCCTTCGATCTCTTTAGAGGCAGGCATTGTTCAATTGAGAAACTGAACAATGCTAGGATTTAAATGCCAGGAATTTGAAACCTTTAGACTTACTAAGGGAACATCCACATATTTATTACGTTATTCACAAAGCCCTGATTTTTTCAAGATCAACTCCCCTCTTTCGGATACTCCTCGTGTTAAGTTTAAAATCGGCGACGCAGAATAACCCACGCACCTTTCAAATAACGTAATGTATGGACGTCCCCACTGCATACATATTTAGGTAAATATTTTCAGCCTTTTTTAGCCTCTGGAACCAATCAATTGGGGAACGTCCATGCATATATGTGGATGAGTGGCTGCATGGCGTTATAATTAGCATGAATGGGGTAGGGAATGGGTGGTCTAAAAATTGGCATTTCTAATGACGTAATATAGGGACGCTCCCTCTAGGTGGGTAAATGACCCCTCCATCGTGACTACGCACTTCCTCACTGAAAGCCAGTAAGGTTCGCCTCGTCAACTGCAGCAGATACTCTTCTCTTACGCCTATCGTTGAACCACAATATTTGTAATTGGTAAGTGAACATTCTTTAAATTTCCCCAAAGTCAAAAAGTACAATTGAACTGAACTTTGGATTACTTAATATCCAAAAATAGAGTTGTACATATTTTCAAAACGTGTGGCTTACTTATTTTACGCCAAAATGTCCATTTATGTAAAATTTTGGTTTTCAAAAACAACTTAATGTCCATACAATTGTAAGTAATAAATTGATAAAATTTGCGAAAAAATCAAATAAGTCGGATTTTTTGCCCTCTAATTACTTCCTCGCCTTGCCTTGTTAAAAATAAGGACATTTTCAACACTTGTTGAAAACTATAAAATTTAGGGAACTTTGATAGTTTTTAATATTTGAATTTGGCAAATCTCTGTAATTTTAATGTGGATCATTTCAGGTTTCAGATGCCTTTCATCAATTTGGAATCCTCCGAGGGGGAAAGGGTCAAGGTTGACGTGGACGTGATACAATGCTCCCAGACGATCAAAAGTCTCATCGAAAACTTGGGACTGGAGGATAGCGACGATGACCGCGAAGTCGTCCCGCTGCCAAACGTTAACACCGAAGTACTGCGTAAGGTCATTGCATGGGCGGAGCATCACAAGGTTTGCAAGCAAATTTATGCTCTAAAATTTTAAGTCCTCTATCAAGATTTTGGAAATACCGTTGATTGAAGCATGCCTCCTAAAGTTGTTTTTGAGCTACCATTTTGGTGGAAAACTACCCTTTGAAATATTTAATGAGCGTATTTAAAAGTTACAATGAATAGGAGGGAAAATTTAAAAAATTAACAGGTTGCTTTGTCCAATCCGAATATACTTTCCTAAATGCTTGGGAAACCTTCCCATCGTTTTGGAGGCGGATTAAATTATTTCCAAATATTAATACTATTACATTACACCTTTCAAATACTTACAATGCACATGTCAGACATGTTTCGATGAAGCTAAAAGTTATCTTGATTATGAATCTTCTAAATTGCAAATTTGTTTGGTTATTAAAATTTGTGCAGGATGACCCCCCACCCATCGAGGATGATGAGGATCCACCACGTGAACGGTGCACCGACGACATCACCACGTGGGATGCTAACTTCATCAAGATGGAACAAACCCAGTTGTTTGACCTGATCGTGGTAAACTTTATTTCGAAAAATTGCTACATATTTCCCAAATTGATTGCCGTAAATGTTTGCGGTATTGAATTACAACTTGCATAATGGGCATATCTATAACGCACATATGTATTTCATATTTCACAAGTTATATGTGAAAAGACCTCGAGTCTTACTTCTCAAAATTTTCAAAAAAAGTGAACCTTGCATTTGCCAGCCAATCCTCAGATTCTGGATGGTCATATATTAACATATCTGAATGTTACAATTCGGAAGGTAAACTTTTATCGGGACTGAAAATCTTTTTTATAAGTCGATATATAGGGTGGTTTAAAAGTCAGGATACAATTGAAAATTTTTCAATGGGAAAAATTCGCAAATCTCCATTAGTTACCGAAATTTTACCTCTGAAATTCAATATTTGAAGAATTTTGTCGCCAGTGTTCCATAACTTTTGATAAAAATTAATAAAAATCTCAATTCCAAATCCGTTACTAATGGAAATTTACGAATTCTCCCCATTGAAAAATTTTCCATTGTAACCTATCTTTTAAACCACCCTGTATATATGTACCTCGTAGAAGCGACTGATGCATAACTTATAGTTATAAGGCATCATATCCCTAGTTATTTTGCCTAATGACATAGCTTTGATAAAAACTAATAAGCAAATATGTACTTTTTTTATTCCGTTCAATTAGGCTGCTAACTACCTCGACATCAGCGGCTTGTTGGACCTCGGGTGCAAAATTGTGGCGAACATGATCGAAGGCAAGACGGCAGATGAGATTCGGGCAATGTTCAACATCGAGAATGACCTGTCACCCGAGGAGTTGGAACAAATTCGCATGGAGAACCAATGGTGTGAGGAAAAGTAGGAGGAAAATTTCTAATATGCTGTTTTCTTGGAAGTTTTAAATAAAAAAAAGTTTCATTTAAGTGCAATACTGAATTTACCAATGAAAGTTATTTTTCGTGCGGTACCAATGATAGCATACGCATGAGGTTAAAATGTGTCTGCTAAAATATATACAGTGGCGAGCAAATTAAATTGTACGGTAGAAAAACTGTTCTACCTCGCACATTTATCAAGATAAGTGCTTGCAAATTTGCAACGTAGTACCCCAGAAAGATTGTCGTTGGATGCCGTTCCGGTTTTTGAAAAATCTTAAAAAGGTCAAAGGTCACAATTTTTGACCCAAAAGCTCATTTTTCAACTCTTACGATGATTTTTTTCCTTGGAGGCTTTATTTTTTGATCGATAGCTCAACTCAATGTGAACATTTTGATATCTTGTTCGTTTCTCTACGATTTTTTTGAAGAAAGTTATGAATTTTTGAAAAAAACGAATTTTGAAAAGTTTAACATTGCGCTTATGGGAGCAATAGTAAAATCCGCAAAATTTGTCTTTTTCAAAAATTCATAACTTTCTTCAAAAAAATCGTAGAGAAACGAACAAGATATCAAAATGTTCACATTGAGTTGAGCTATCGATCAAAAAATAAAGCCTCCAAGGAAAAAAATCATCGTAAGAGTTGAAAAATGAGCTTTTGGGTCAAAAATTGTGACCTTTGGCCTTTTTGAAATTTTTCAAAAACCGGAACGGCATCCAACGACAATCTTTCTGGGGTACTACTTTGCAAATTTTCAAGCTCTTATCGTGGTCAATGTGCGAGGTAGAACAGTTTTTCTACCGTACAATTTAATTTGCTCGCCACTGTAGTACATTTTTGAAACTTCATTGAAACTTCAAATGCTACAAATCATTTTCAATTATCTTCTCCATTACGTGAAGACTATGAGCCTAGTGTAAACGGTCCCACGCGTACAGGGAGTGGTTTTACCTCTCCCTACTTCAAGAAATGATAAATCTTCTCAAAAAATGCCACCACGATACAAATACCAAATACTTCCCGTTACAAACGCAACTTTTCGAATCTTCAATATTTCATAAGTAATATCTAAAAACGCTCCATTTTTTAAATTTGGTCTGGTCAGTACTTCCCTCTCGTACGAATCGTACCACAAAGCGGTCAAGCCATGTTGAAACATTTGATTTGTCTTCTTTCTGATAAATCCACCACCACGATCCCGCTTAAAAGTCCAGGTGATAGGTTCATTTGGAACAATGGGTTCCTTTACAAGGTGACATTTCTTCTCCAACCCGTTCTTTCGGTAAAAGATGGTCCGCCTGATACGGTCCTGTAGACAACCCTGCCTCGTCTTAACGATGGCGATATTAAAAAATTGAAGGAGGTCTGAATATATATGGAATACAAGCTTAAAAATAATGTTTCCGTTTTGAACTTTGAACTCTAGATAAACTAATAGGTATACTAAATCCAGCATAAACTTTACTATTTATAAGGTTACTCTGCATATGGTATATTTACCTTATTCTTCACAAGGGTATAATACTTTTGAAGAGTGTACATAAGAATGCTAATTATTAACTTTGAGTAAAATATCCTACCATTCATTATTTCCCCTTTGCTTGCTGTCTCGTTTCCTTCTCTTATCAGTAGATGTTTTTCTCTGTATTTTAGAATTTCGTCCCGTACTTTAAACACATCCTTGGCCATCATTATATAATTTGCATTATTCTTGGGCGTCAAATTTGCCTCGTAAATCTTGTAAAGGACACTATCGTATAAAACACGGTATGTGTAGGTTTTCAAGTCAAGTTAAAAGTGGACGCATCGCATCATGTTTTGCTAGAAAGATGGTAGAAACAAAATTAAGCCGGATGACGAGAATTTATCCAGCCGACCTTACAATTGTCCGATTTTTCTATTCAGTCAAATTTACCGAAGTGTGAAATGGCCTCAAATTGAAGTGAAATGCAAACATCCCATGAAATGGTAGGATTTAAAAGAAAATAAACGATCCTGAATTCTTCAATGATCCTAGTGACCAAAATACCTACTTAAAAATGCATTAATCAATTTTGGAGTCCATGGTCATTAATCCTTCTTGCTTGCAGAAAATAATTTGTGCTTGAACCACAGAGTTTAAGAATAAGGGAAAGGGATTTTCTTGTTCACAGAATTTAACAGCGCCAACCCAGACTTTCAAAAGAAGAATTGCAAAATCAGGAGCGTCCAAACCCATGGATTGTTCTTGTTTTTTACGTTTTACTTTTTAATTTTACTAAATTAAACAAAAAACAATTCGTCAATTTAAATTGACTTTAAGCTTGGCATTTTACCTTTAATTTCCATTAAATGTTCTATCGCTTGGTATTTTTATGGCCTCACGATTATCCATAAATTATCCATATTGCTTCGTTCAAATATGGCCATGTTTTTTCCAAGCAGCTGCTTGTTACTTATTCTCTGTCTTTGTGGGTTAAACGTAATTCTCTATCAATGTGTCAAAGTTGAAAATTATCAGCCAGAACGACAATACCCTAAATTATCCCCTATGTCGTCCTGTTAAAAAATTCCGGACAAATTTTAGCACATAACATTCTAATGCATAAGAAACACTGAATGGACTGGATTCAGGAGCATGTGGAAGCAAGCTAGCACCTGGTGCGTGTCAAAGGGCTTTTGACAGTTTTCAGGAAGAAAGTTCGGGTTGTCGCCACATACGAAGTGGAGAAAACCATGGTTTATAGTTATTTGTAAGGATGGGTCACCTCTTTATCATAGTAAATTTTTAGTAAGCTAGGCATGCTATATTTCCAAATGTTCACATTTTTGTACTAGTTTCATCTGCTGGACCAACTACCCTAAAAATTATGCATTTCTTGTTAATATATTTCTTTGTACAATTTACGTACATATAAAAAAACATAAATTGTACGATATAGAAATTGTTCGATCGCATACATTGGGTGCGATAATAGCTTGAAAATTTGCATAGCTGTTGTAACCCAAAGATTCTGGCTGCGTATCAATTATGGTTTCGAGATATATGAGGAGGGTCCAATGTCTGATATTTTACCTCCAAACCAATTTTCAGCCACGGCTAGTATTTTTTCGCGTGTTTTTGTTTTCGTGTTGATCTCTCAAAATGCGCTCTTGCATTTTTATAATCAGGCGAATTTTAGCGCCGTTAACATGTAACATGTTGTTCCATAAGCACAATGTTAAACTTTAAAATTCAATTGTTTCAGACCCACAACTTGATCGAAAACATCGTAGGGATCGGGGAATCAAAATGATGATATCAAAATCTTCAGGACCGCTAAGGGCTAGATTATTAAAATCAAAACAAAAGTAAAACAACCGAGGCGATAACGACAGTGGAAATATAAACTATAGGGACTATATTTTGGGGCCATCTAAAAAGGATTTTTTCCCATTTAAATAGATAAAATTCCTGAAGCTACTTTTCGCCATTAACAAATATTTTCGGACCCATCTAAATTTCCATATGGCCACTTAATTGGATATTTAAATTTACAGTAGAAACCTTGATACAACCATGATAACCAAACAAGGGAAGTACTTTTTTTAATTTTTGAGCACCTTTGTTTCAGATAGGCGCATGCATTCAGTTTGTGCACTTAATGGAACCTATTTCTAGCTACTCCAATATCAATAAATCCAGCCACAAATTATGAATCGCATGGCACTTATCTATCTTTCCTTTATCTATCTTTTATCTGTCTATCTTTCCTCTTTTTAGTTAATCTTATCTCGCCTTTCTTCCATGGGCGACAAACAAGGTTGACGCACAAGCTTCCCCCCCCCCCCCAAACAAAAATATATCTTCAAAGGAAGTCGCCGTAGCAAAGTTTGTACGCCTACTTTGCCACATATATTTTTCTCCCAAGGGGACCTTTCAACTGATAAGTGTCATGCGATTCCTAATTATTATCTGGATTTTAAGATACTAGTTAGTAACTAGGTAGCCTGAAAAAGGTTCCTGAAAAAGTTACTCATACATGCTTGCACTCATACCGGCTACTATTTGAGTTTTTACGGTATATTAAAAAACGAGTCAAAAATTAGGAATCACATGACGCCCTTTCGACAAAAATACTGTAGAGAAGACCAAGTTCAATTTTTTTTAGTAATTTTTCCCTTCTTTATCGTACACGGGTGACGGGGCGAAAATCAAGGCGCTCTTGTGAACTTTGCCTCCAATATTTTTTTTTCTTCAAGGGGGCCATTCAACGGAAATATGAGCCTCATGTGATTCTTAATTTTTGGCCCGATTTCTGATATAACTTCTGCAAAGAATGTTTCAGTAGGCAGGGGCGTGGGCCTCGCCGACCTACAAAAGCTGCAAAGGCTTTGCTAATTATGCAATAATGCAAAATTATCATAATAAATTTGAATATAAAAAATTATACATTAATTATATGGCGAACTATTTAAATGGCCAACATGGGTTATTTAAATGGAAATCTAGGCATAGTTGATGGTAAAAGTATCCAATGGTAAATTTAATCCATATCAATGGGAAATGTAGTCTTTTCTAGTGGCCCCTAAATCCGATGCCTAAATTATACGGTACCTTGCTGGAAAATAAGATTTGAGATCAAAAGCTATTACCTCTCACCCTTTCGAAATTTTAAAAAAACAAAAACGTCATGGACCCACAATCCTTCTAGAGTACTACACTTTGATGCAGATTTTCTACAATTATCGTACAAGTTATTGTGCTGCCCAATGTATTTATAGGAACTGCTTTTCAACGAAAACTGATCCCTGATTTATACATCTGCCAAGATGATGAAGATGCATGAGTTTCCTACATAAGGTCTACATATTTATATATTTGGCGGAAGAAAAGTCAGACCGCGAGCGCCGAATTCGCGAGCGGCTTATGGCGCCGGAATTCTTTGCCCAGGTAAGATTTTTAGCTAGATCGGGGCCTGGAACCAATTAATGTTGTGGTGCTTGTATGAATTAAATTGGTTTAATTATAACATACGGCCCCCTCATCGATGGGGGAATATGATACGTCAAAATATCAGGTTATACATGCTG